ATATATATATATATACATATACATATATATATATATATATATGTATATGTATATATATATATATGTATATGTATGTATATATGTATGTATGTATAATTATATCTCAATTACATCTCACGGTGCTGAAAGCATCACCTGTCTGCCATGGGAGGAGCCTGTGCAAGCTCTACATTTGTCGCCCTTGGTAGATGAGCTACAGTACTAAAGCCATACAGCCATATGTTGTCGTCTTAGAAATATACAACTCGGGTGAAGGATGGAGATGTTTCGGCACAATATTTAATTTAATATTAAACAAAAAAATTCTCCCTGAAAATACTTTAATCCTGATATTAGTCACACTATTGTTATTTTAAGATATGTCATTATACAATGCCATATTATTAGTTTACTGTAGAGGTCATGAACCAATCCATGAAAACCTTTGTTGCCCACATTAAAACCAGTTCCCTCGATCTGCCATTGATACTTACAGGTCCATAGAACAGTAAATGAAGGCAATCACTCTGGATTTACATGACCGTAGTTGTGGAAAATATGCAAACTGTGTGTGAAGGGCTCCATGTTAACTGTAAGGTAGCCAACGCTGATGACTTTGATAACCTGGCTATTATTCGTTTGGTAATGACCTGATATTGAACCTTACTTGGGATTTGTTTCCACTTGGCTGTGTTTTTTTGAAAAGCTTATTTTACCCATTACAAACACATCTAAATGCATAAAGAAACACATGTATATTATATATATATATATATAAATATAAGTATATATTGTATATCTTTTTTTGTAAAAGCTGTTTTGAGCTACAAATGTATGGATGCAATGCATCATGGGTTATTGAACAAGTTGTAAGAAAATACAATGATTTGTACCCACAGAGATTTGATTGCAAGAAATGAAATTAAACTTCCTTGTCTATGCATTGTGTGTTTGGTCATTACGCAATAACTTTACTTTAAGATGTGCAAGTAAAACACTGTGATTAGTAAAGAAGTGGAAGCGATTCAAACATTTAAACTGTGCTGATCATAATTTTCATGCAGATCACTGAATTAAAAGTGTACTACGTATTCCTCCTATTGTCATATAGAGTGAGCAAAATGCAAAAAAATTTGAAGATACAATGGAAGCAATGAACACATGTACAATGTAAGGCGACCCAAATATTACCTATACAAACCATAGCCTCAAAAATGACAACAACAGTTATTATGGGCTGTATTATGTTCATTCTTTCAGTATACATAAGAAGATTCATGTGCTCTATTACTCAACAAAGGAAATCTTCACCTCCCGTCATTCATAATTAAATAAATGTTAACCGTCTGTTTTTCATCACTGTGGAAACACAACAATGTGTCATGAGAAAATATTTCAACAATTTATTGTTTAATATATATTGTTTATGTAATTGTTATTGAAGGGCACACAAAGGACACAATGATGTCCCAATAGTCACCTCAGTGTTACATTAGTTCTCAGTGTTCGGTTACCTTGCCAGACGAATACTTGATGTGTTTATAGTATACTGATGATGTAACACTTCCACCATCATAAAAACAGACTCAACATGGTTGTATATAAAACAAAGACATGCAGGGAAAAGGTCAGGAAAGACACGTAAAAAAGCATTAAACACAGATTAGGTGTAAATTCTGTTTGTATTGTCGGGAAAAATAAGAGTGAGAAATGACACACTGATGGCTGCTGTATATATGACACATCCAGCTGTCGTCACATCCCGATCCAGCTGTCTAATTCAGCTATGTGGACTTCATGGTGTTACTCAAGCTGAATCACTATTTTTTTTCTTCATCCATGCGCACTTTGAGCTGCTTAAGCTGTCTCTCCACCAACACACTTATTCCCAACGGCCCATTGTGCTCAACACAATACACGAACATGCAATCGTAAATCATAACTGTCACACCTCGTTTCCTCCCGCACATTCCTCCAACACTGCAGTTCTTCTCAGTCTCTCTTTGACTCGGAGGAACTCTGGCCCCTCTCGTTGTTGCCCTTTGTCTCTCTCTAGCTGCGGAGGAATGAAAATACACAAACAGAATTTGGACTCATATGTGGTAGCCACAGTAAACAAGCAACATTTTCAAGATATTTGATGAATGTCAAGGTTTAGAGCTAATTCCCTAAAGTCAAAGGTCTTGAAGATCCACACAATCCACAGTTCTTAAACACAGAACTGTGTAAATGGTTTGTAATCTTTAAAAAAAAGAATCCATCAGACAGCATTCATACATACAGGGTCTAACATATCTATGTTCTTTTTCTCTTTTAGGAGCCCAGGCTGTGAAACAGTATCTACACTGCCCTCCAATGGTGGACTGCAGAACAACATGATGCTCCACATACACCACCATCGTCAATCTTCTGTGAGGAAATACTGACCATTTTCATATAACACAGTCATTTGTTCTCTCAGAATAGATCATTCGAATTAATGTCAACCACTATGATGATTTGTAAGTCAGATGTGATGAGATCCTTTGTACAAATTCAGAAAAAAAATCTAGCATGATGCACTATGCCAACCTTTTCTAGCCTCTGTTGTCTTTTCAACAGTTCCCGATGAAGTGGTGATCTGTTCTTCTTCGCCTCTTCCTGATCTCTGCTCGCCTTCATCCCTTGTTCCCATCTCCTCTTTTCTAACACCCTCTGGAGTTCAGTCTTTTCTTCTTGAGACACTCTCCTGACAGACATGTGGCAGGACTTTATGATTCATATAAACAATGAAAGAGAAGTGTGAGTGTTTACGAGTGTTTTTTGTGTCTTTTCCAACCTCTTGTGGGTCATCCGCAGTTCTCTGTGAAGCTCCTGGTGGCTCTTGGAGGCCGTCAAAGGGTTGGGAGGTTTTTGTGGTCTGATGAGATTACTGCTCTCCTCCTCACTCTGTTGTTGGGACGAAGGAGCCTGCAGCTCTGAGTATTGGTATTGCTGTTCACTTTGGTGTGTCTGCATTGCTGAGGCTGAAGAGAAAAACATACAGTACATATTTTCCAAATATTAATTTTGAATGCAACGTTTTTCTTGTGATACAGTATTCACCATTTCAGTATTATAAACACGCACTAAAGCAGCTTTTAATGACTGAATGATAAAGGGGTAGACCATATTTGAGCAGAGACAGTGGTTATGACAAACCCCAAAGCACCCCTGTTGTATCTTAATTCTGTACTTGAGTCACGTGACAACAACTCAACTATCTCCTTGACAAAAAAACAAACTCCATCAGATGCAGCAATTTATCAAAAGTGCTATTTCCAAGGTGAATAAAAATGATTGCTTTTTAAAACATGCTTTTATTTTTGCTTTTTTTAAAAGGCCCAGTTGACTGAAAACAAGCCACATGTATTAACACAGGCAGGTATTTATAATACTCTCTCTTATATTAGGACCTCTGGAAGTAAATGGATAACTTCACAAACTGCAGCAACTACATCAAATAGAGTTGAAAACACCTGAAAACTTTGGTATTAATTAAACCAAATGGAGAAACAAAAGTAACCAAAAAAAAGTGACTACAGTGACCTTGATGGAAATGACACCATGGGGATTTATTTTGAACTCCGGACAATGTAACTTGAGTATCAAGTTGAGTCCTTGTGGAACTTAGCTTTGTAACAAGTCCAGCAAGGCCCAGTCGGTACGGAATTTTCCCCAAGGGGATTAATAAAATACTTCTGCTTCTTCTTCTTTGCCTTTGTAAACTTTGTTGAAAGGTAAATAGTGAAATAACAGGCTAACAGCACAAGCAGAGAAGGGTCAGCATGTCATAAATGTCAGTCACACAGCAATGTCTGTGGAAAGTTTGATAGTAAACATTAGCTGCCAAAAGCTGCTGGTCTTACCAGACCATTGAGGCTGTAGATATAGCATCAGAACCCCCGAGTGTATTGCAATGAACAAGGGTGGGTTTTGTTGCTAACAGATTTGTCTATTTATTTGAAAAAGGACGATTGTGTTATTTTGTCTTTTTACGTTTGCATGTCTTGCTTTAAAACATATTTTACAGACTTGAATAGTGAATGTCACTAGGCAGGAACCTTTTCCTTTTTAATGACAGAATAAATAAAAATGTTTCTGCAGCAAATAATACTGCGACCACATGTTGCTTTATATAGCACAGATTAGCACAGAGCCACCTATAGGCTCTATCCGTTCTACCTCTGCACAGTGTCTTCCCAGAGTCACACCAACAGCAAAAAAGGTGTCTTGTAACAATAGACTTCTCACCAGACCCATTCAGGTGTGTCTCTGGTGAATGTTGGAGATCTCCCTGTCAACAGAAAAAGTCATTGACATGTCAAATAGAATAGAATATATCTCATTGTTATTACCAACGTATTTCAAAATACAAGTGTGGAGATATCGTGTGACACAGGAACGCACTCCAATCAGAAATCTCTCAGTCAGGTCGCCCATGCAATTTCATGCAAATGGCAGCGAGAGCTGCGAGCGACACAAAGCCGTATTATGATGCTGACAGACAAAGCTCCAGTTCAACATGTCCAGTGAAGCGAGGGCCCCTCACTGGTGAGGTGGAGGGCTGCCGCCTCATTAATGACAAGGATCAAACAAAACACAGTTTGATTCCCACTGAGATTCTCATTTGCTGGAGTTTGAGCAGAATTAATAGTCGAGAGAAGAGAAGAGTGGGACTCAGAATGGACTGCTGAATAAAGTGATTGTTTCTGTTTTTGTTGTTTGGTTAAATATTTGAAGAACATTTGAATAAAGAAAAAAAGATGTCAAACTATAGTGTTTGCTCTCAGCACAATCTAATATAGTTACAGGTACTTTATCGATCCATGTACATGTTACATTATGTTTGTTAAGGCTTCGGCATTTGTTGCAATTCAGCTGCACCATGTCCGGTCATCTGGTAGCATTGCTAAATGTGTTCAAAAACCTGCATTCAAATAAAGAAATTTAGAAACAAAATCACAGTAAATTGTCGAAAAAGTGCAATCTCGATCAATATAGGCATTTTAACGACAACTCTGGTGCTGGCTGCTGTTTCATTGATGAGGGAAGAGTCATGCTGTTTGGCTGAAGCTCAGACAGTGAATATTGTGTGGAGAAGAATTAATAGGACATGACAGGGTAAATACTCTCCAAGGCCCACTCTCTGGTGTTGGCAAGCACTTGCTGTCTTTGGGAAATAAACTGCAGAGATAACGACAGATAAATCTACCACAGGAAAATGGTTAAGTTCTGCCAAAGAAAAGCTTAAATGTGATCAAGAACACATAATTAATACAATATTTGTTATTTGTGATGACACATAGTACACAGAACATAGTGTAACAGTTGGTTTCTTCATTAGTTCACAGTGCCTCAATCTTTTCAAACATATTGCAAGAAAGTATTTTTGCCACATGGATGCATCTGCTGGATCATCTCAATGAGACATGTGTTATGTCTCACAGAGAAAGACAAATGTAAATAAAGAATGAATGTCGATCAATTTACCTTCTTTCCATGGGTGACACCCATGTCCTCAGTTGAGTCCAGTATGAATATCTGCACAAACACCTCCTGGGCTCACAGCGGACAGAGTTGCAGTAATAATTTGAGGTTACCCTCTCTCTCTCTCTCTCTCTCTCTCTCTCTCTCTCTCTCTCTCTACTCCAGCAGCCAAGAATGCCAGAGAGAGGAAACTGTTCTGTGTTTGGGACGATGATAATTCTCCAAGTGGAAGACCAACTGCAAATAAAGTACACTGCATTGTTAGAAAATTAAACCAGTGCTTCCCAACCTTTTTGGTTTCTGACCCCTTGTAAAAGTGTCTAGTCGAACAGCTTGAGGCCCAGAAAGAATTGGTGTATCAGAATTTTCTTTGCCACTTCCATTAATCATCTCAAGAGACCTCACATTTATCATTTGATCCTCTGGAGGGGGCCAGACTGGTAAACTAAACCACCGAACTGTACATAAAGTAGTCAAAACTAGGGCCACCTCGACTAGGTGCAATATTACAAATCGTTACACTGAAACTTGAAACAGAGTATTTTCACACTATCTGTACTTTTACTAAAGTAAAGTATTACTTCTTAAACCTCTGGTGTACCAGATGAAATGAAAAAGTATGCAATTGATGTGCTTATAAGATAAAAAGAAAATAAGAAATAGTGAGATAAAAAAGGTGAAAACACTGGTCTTAACTGACATTTAAATGATTCCAGAGGGACAAAACTGTTACTGGCAGTACCCCATTCATCTCATTGTCTAGTAATAAATAGTTGCACAGTAGCCAGTCACCTCTGTCAGTGTGTCAAATGTTTCCATTTCTTTGAAGATTCACTTTGCATCTTCTATTATTATTAACAGCAGCACTAGTGAAGTTCAGTACATTTTATTTATAAAGCTTAGAATCACAAATGACAAACTTGCCTCAGACATCTTTACAATCTGTACAAAATCCTTAGAACCATGATTTGAGATGAGGACAAACTCCAGGAAGAGCAACAGAGGTGAATCTATCTTCCAGGATGAACAGACAGGCAATACACTGGATGCCATTATACACATAGCAGACAGAGAGAGAGGTAGTAAAACCACACTGTAGAGGTACACAATTCAATACATATAGTATATACATATCATTTGAAGTAAATATGTATTCAATAAGGTAAGTTCTGGGTTTCAGAAAGAGTGTACAACTATTTACACTCTTTGAGTGGCATCATTTTTTACATGGAAGTCTGAAATAAGTCATATTCTCCTTTTCATCACAAAGATCCTGTCAGGTCAGTTTGGTTCCTTGGGATACAGCCGCCCATCTCCACCATCTCCGGCCATCCTTCGTAAATGTTGGTTTTGTCATCATTAACAGTTTGCTGATGGGTGAACAAGAAAGAGGACATTTCTTTTACCATCAATTATGTTGCTTTTTTTATTTAACTGTCATTAAAAATAGAAGATCTTTTCTGACACAAATAGAACAGGCTCGCTAACCTTCTCAAAGAGGCTTTTGTTTTCTGTCCCTGCTCTCCCAGCAAACACCCAGCTATCTCTGCGTTTTACAGACTTGATCAAAGTGCTTCCCATTCCGACAAACACCTCTCTTATGTCGTCTGTCATTCTGCCAAAAAGGAATAGAAAAGGGTTGTGTTGTGTGTGCTATGAAATCGTTTTAGCTGTTGAATCATTGCGATTTAGACTTACTTTGGTGACAAATCATCAAACGAGGCCACCAAGACCATCATTCCAGGTTTTATCTCCTTTAGGTATGCCAGGATGTCTTCTGTGTCTTTTGTTAAAAGTAATAAAAAAAACAAAAAAACATGACATTTTAAGGGTTCAATACGTTTTTAAATTGAAAAGAGGATTAAAAACCACCCAACTTACTTCCATTAATCATATTAAGGTAGCCAAATTTTTCCACGGTTCCATTTTTACCTTGGGTGGAAAAAACACAACGACTGTTTATCAACAACAAGATCAGCTTCTCTGGAGCTTTTGATCAAATCACACGATCTTCATCAGCAGATGGAGTTTGCCCTGTTTTTGTGTAAGTTAAGCGATTAAATTATCTGTTTAATGAGCACTCTAAGGAACATCATGTTATATAATCGAAGCTAATTATTGGACCTTTAGGTAAGCTTGTTCTATCAACTGCTGTTTTCAACAGTCTGAACTGAAGCTGTTGTGTCCAAAGTCATGTTCATGAGCAGTCGGTCACGTCACTCAAAAATGACTTTTAGGCAATGAGCAGTTTGAATAATAAAATATATTCTATCGTCATAACAGATACATTAACCTACAATAGACAGTACGATGTAGATGGATCGTGATTCACTGAACTTGTATAGAGAAGCGTGTATCCACCACTTCACAGAAAATACTGTATTATGCTGATAAATTACAGTAGTCTGCTGTTATTGTTAATTGACGGCATTGACTGTTCATTTACATGCGAGGGATGAACATTTAACTGTATGTTATATTTATTATGAAATACTATAAGATACCGTTTTAAAGCCACCGTAAATTTACAGCAATTCATTACAGTGAATGTCAAAACTTTAAAGCCCAAAACTATTAAAAATGTGAATGTTTTAAAGAATTGTTTAAGAAAGTATACATTTTTTACAGCCCAGTACTTTAACAAATCTGTCAGAGTATTTTTACTCACCATTTACCACCACAATGTTCAGCCCTGGTCCCACATTATTCATCGCATAACTCATAATGCTGTTGAGATACAGATACGGTTGAGTTTTACTCAGTCACACACATTTCCCTCTTTAGTTATGTCCAGTACTACCATATCAAACACGCACATTTCACCATCGAAACAGATCTTTGGTCCAATGACATTAGCTGCTCCGCTGCTGATTCGTAAACTGAAATGGTCAGACGGACAGACTCTGGTGAGGCTGCACTTTGGCTCAGTTGTTGTACCTGAAAACGCAAACAGAAAAGTACTTCTGATCATGAAGGAAACCACACAGTTAATGTGGAAGTCATGTAATGTTAAAAAATAATTTAATTTACCGTTTGAGAATTTTGGATTGATTTGATCTTTGTCATTAAACCCTTAGATAAAAGAATGGAGGAAGTGTTAGCAAATGAAACTAAATGAGAAGAGGTCGTTCAGGATTTCTGATGTAATGAGTAGAAATGAGCTCACCGAGAATATTTCCTGCTTTCTCCCCAACATCAAATGAATTGATGGCTAATCTCCAGGTTATAAGGAGGATAATAATTACAGCAGCAAGGTTCAAAACAGCTGTCAACCACAAAGAGATGAAGATTGGCAGAGATACAAACAGAAATACCAATTTTTGAAATAAAGTGAAATCTCACCTGGATTTCTCATATCTGCAATAACTTAGATAGCTTCCAGTTCCTAAAGGGAAGAGCTGGGACCTTTGAAATGCACTTCTAGTATTTCCTGTTAACAAGAAGTGTCGTAGATACAGCAGCGCTTTGGTGCGATCTCATCTGTGAACACGCACTCTGATAATTCCTACAACCATGCCTGTTGTTTGGTTATGCATTAAAAAAAACAGCTCCTCCTTGTGCTACATGAAAAACAGGATGTGGCTTTAAGCATGACCAGGCAATGTGAACTAGATGATCAGGTTTCTCTCTTTTACAATGCAAATATGGGTTCAGTAACAGATACTCGTTGTGATAACAATTTAGCAAACAGCAAATAGTGCTTAGTCGACGTGCAAACATGTGAAACCTAGGGGAATGAAATAAAGAGTATTTAGTGAATCCCATTTTATGTGTGAGATTATCTACATTAATAAAATGCTACATATGATAGAATAAAAGGTCAAAGTCTTACTAAAAGCAAATAAATATGCATGGAATAGGCACAAACAAATCTGAAAAGAAACCATAACAGATGAGAACTCAAATCTCAAAAACAACAAAACAACATTGTTTCATTATGTTCTTGTGTTACAGGTAAATGTCACTGAGATTAAAGCTTGTTTTTCAAAGGAAACCTGGCGAAGAGGGAGTTCTTTTAATAAACACAACATAAATAGGCCAATGGTGTATTTGTCAAGACATATATGGTATTTAAATCCATACTTTTGATGGATGGACAACACTGTTTGCACAAGAGTTAGTTGTCACTAAAAAGCATGTTCAAGGACCCACTTAAAAACGAGATGGTACATCTCAAGGGGTTATTCCTAGTAAATGATTTCCATATGTTAATTCCAGAGGCCAAGGCCCTGTGTGACTAAGCTTCTGCACTGCTCATCCTTGAGCAGTAGCTAAGTCTGAGCTTTCACCTGCCTTGAGGGGCCCAAACTAAAATAGCGCTATACTAATAAAATGTATTATTATTATTATTAAAATAGCATATCCCTACAGGCAGTAATGAACTGATGTTCTGACTGTCATTAAAGTTAGTGTGGCCAATCATTACAAGGTCATCATTTATCCATCAAGACACAGTTGAGTAGCTGATTAGGGAATTAAAGTTAAATGAAATTGTGACAAATGAAACCACACACATAAAGATGGCTGACAAATGACAGGAAAAAACAACACAAACGTATTAAATAGAACAGCTTCAGCTGCACCAAACGAGCACAAAACAAACTAAAATAGTAAAGAACTAAAAAGTACCGAGAGAATTAAAGGACGAAACTTGAAAGCTCGTTATGTTTTTATAAGTGTGAGCACTAACATTAGATACTGCTGAACTGTTTGTTTTTGTAAAAACTCTTTCCTCCGTCCACCCAAACCTAGTGCGATTAGGGCTGTTGGTGTTACACACGAGGGGATTTGCATTATGACAGTATATGTTTGCAGCATCTTAACTCTTGATATTCCTGACACAGTGTGATACTAAAGAGAACCAGCAGAGGGTCCATGTGTACCACATTCTACTGATAAGAGGAAACGTTTTGCATTCAGAGAAACATTTGACTGGATAACATAAAAAATATCCATGTTTTCTTCCTCTTTTTGTAAATACTGTGTTTGTCCATTTAAGCAATAATACAATAAAAGTAGAGAGAGCTCTTCAGATAAGAGACAGAAATAGTGATGTAGTCGTGTCCAGTTGGACAGAACAGGGACAATCCAAGCAGAAGGCAAATACATCAACCAGTACACAGGATGAATATTTATAATACAACCAACATAAATATTTCTCTAATGTCCGCCAGAATATAAATATACACGCAGTAGTCATCACTGACATCATTCACACCATCATCAGTAACTGTAGAACAAAATCTGAAATAATACATGAACTTTAACCTCATAATCAATGCTTAATTTGTTGCCGTTGCATTAGTCCATAACAACTACACTGCTCCGCACTGTGCTCATACAACGGTTACAGCTGATAAAGCCGTTGGTGGTCGCCGCAGCATAGCGCCCTCCCTCTGGTTACCTCTCGGGTAAACGCTGTTAGCTCTGTCAGCACTTTGGCCATATAGTTGGTACTGTTAGCGCTGTTAGCAGCAAGCCGCTGGCTCAGCTTAAGCCATGATGAGAGCAGTTGAGAGGTAGTAGAAATGCTCCACATCTTGTATTCAGCACCTTTGAATCAACAATTTTACCGCTGATTGAGGTAGTTTACATCCATAATGACAACTTTAGGGGAGTGATTTTGGAGGATAGGCCTGAAGGGATGCTCAGTGTTGCCGACTTCCTGAATCTTTCGAGAGATTTAACAGCTTTTGGAGCTAGTCCTGCTAACACTTTCAGAGTTGGCAACACTGGGCTGGGTTTTGGACTGTTGTTTGAACAAAGCAACACATTTGATGATGTCATCATGGGTTGTAGGAAAATGTGATGGGTACTTTCTCAGTTTTGTGGAGCAAATGTATGATGTTTTCAAATATCATTATAAATAATCATTAGCTGCAGCCCTAAAGCACACAATTCATCCACAATAAACTCTTTTTTGCATCCCGGGTCTGAGATTTATTCCAGAAGATCCTGTCAGGAGGCAAAAAAGACGAATTTACAAAATGACATTTGAAGTAATAAGGAAAGTTACAGCTGTGTCAGGTTGTACAGTGGCACGAAGGACAGGGAAAGCTGCAATCAGGGATGATGCACTAACCTCGTCCGACTCCTCTCCGACTGTGCAGGGCCCCCTGTCGCCTTCACCCTCTGTCGCTGCTGAACCCTGGTCCTCCATCCGCCTCAGCTGTGAGTATCTGTATCTTGCCTCACTGAAATAAAGGTGTTTGACAGAACGGGGTGATGTGTTGTTACAGCAATACACATTTTGAATAATCTCGTTAAGGCTCATTAATATAGTCTGCTTACTTGACCGGGAAGCAGTATTTTCGGATGATCAATAGAGCAGCGAATATTACCGCCATAGAGACGAAGATCACCAATGCAATAATCCCGGGGTGAAGCCTTAACCCGGCCTAAAAAGACAAATGAATCCAATGAGATCCAACAGCGGAGTAGTTAAGGAGCCCATCATCGTGACAGCGCAGTTCATGATGTGTGGCTCAGATAAAAAAGGAAATACGGGCAGGAGATATGACAGCTGAACAGGGTGTGTGTTATGGATCACGCTGATGTATGAACCAACAGCTCAACAGCAGGGGTGTGAATCACAGGCCAAGCAGGACTGATATGATTTTAACAATAAATGATCACTCACTTCAGAACTATGATCACAAGCCAATGTGTCTAATATCAGAGCCATGTACGAGATCACATGTTAGGGGTGCCAGAACTTTAGGCTTTGTAGTGATAATTAGGATTCACACAACCTGAAAGTTACAATTATTCACACACGTGAGGAGTCAAGATATGAAAGATGAGATATCAACTCACTTGTAACGTATCCACATTATTTTGTAACATCAATACATTTCCTTCATTCTGTTTATCTTTGTGTAAGGTGTTTTAAAATGCACTTGGAAGGCATCTGTCAATGTCAGATAGCCTATGCAATCACTATTATTACTATTACTTCTTAATGCATTCATATGTTATTTCTCTTTGCATTATGGCAGGTGGATTTGGCAACTAAAATACTTCCGGATAGACGTGTAAACTGTTGAATATTGTGCAATAAAGGACAGTGCATTTGTTTCTACTGTTAAATCTATCCATTTTAATAATGCCATGATATAAGCCTGTTTGATTCTTCAAAGAACTAAATAACAACAACAACAACAACAACAACAACAACAAATAATCCTTATTTCGGCTTCCACTGTATATGTCAAGTTTAAACAGTTTCACTTTTAACATACCAGGCAGTTACACTATTGTGGGCCTCTGCGAACTTAATGACAACAACTTTGGCACCACGATCGTAATAATGACTTTACGTGTGTTTACGTGTTCACGTGTTATGTTCGCGTACCAATTACAACCACGGGCGGATTTTAACGGATCAAACAGCTGTGTTGCTTCTCATAAGTACCTGTTGCTGTTGTGCTGACATCCTCGTGAGCCTGGTTAACCTACTTTCATTATGGAACAATGAAGCTCAGTACATCATCACTTGTTTAATTAAAATCAAGACCCAAATTGGTGGGGAGAATCTCAGTTATTCAGTACATAATATGCTGTGTTCGACTGTAACCGCGCTGGGTCAAACGCCAGTTGTTTACTTCCTGGTTGCTGTCACCCTGTTGATGAGCCATATTTACACGCCCCCTTTCAGGAAACGTCATGTGACGGATAGTCGTGGGTCACGTGGCTCCCTGTTGAGCCACATTAAAATAGTATTTGTGATTTCCTGCTGCATCTAATACATTTTTTTAATTAAAAAATGAAGGAAAGTCTCAAGTTCCACTATTTTTCAGAGAAGTGAGCATATTTTTGGAAAAATCCCTTGCCTTGAAAAATGTACATTTCTCCAGTCATTGATCATAAAATAAAAAATAAAGACTGAAAACATATTCACGGCACAACTTCTAGAAAACAGGTTTTGTTGGAATTTAAGTATATTCAAATGTTACATTTTGTGTCTAAATTGGTGTTTTCTTTGTCCAAGATCTTACTTTTCCTGAATCATAAACTTTGTGAATAGTGTTTTTTATTTATAAGTTATGAGCAGATTTCATATAGTGCAATGGTGTACACTTTGCATATGTCAGTATTTGACAGAAAGAGTGCCCTTATCTGGGCCCCAGGATGCTGGCTGGGCCAACTGAATGGTCAGCCATTCATCCAGTTGGGATTATTGTTTGATTAAAACTACAGGGAATCACAATTTGATAAATGAATGTGGGTTTTCCTCTCATTTCATTATACTCCTGCCACTGTGGAGGAACAATTCATCTCTGGCTGAGAATGATGAATCAATCTGGTATCCGCCGCTCATCAGGTGTAATCAGTGCTTTGGCAGGACTGATGAAAAGAACCCCCCGTCTGGTGTTACTGTCGGTTACATAAAAAACATCGAGTACAGGTTCACATGTTACAACAAGGGATCATTTTAACTGTGGGGACTTCAACATTTGATTCATGAATACATTCAAAATCAATTGTCTTCTTTCATAATTTTAGCTTGTTAGGACATTGAAACAGACCATGTACAGCTCTGTTCAACTAGCCTTACCAGGACACTTTCAGGAAACTGCACACAAGAAACCAACAACATGGTCACTTCAATTCATATTTATTTCAATCAACATATCCAAAAATCAACATATTTTCAATTACTTCTCTTTAAACAAATTATGATAAATAAAGAACAAAATGACCTATACTGTTATACTAATTCAAGCAAAACTTAAATGTCAGAAATCCTCTTTGTAAAAAGAAACTCCAGGAAGTTCATTCAAAAGGCTTACATGTTAATCTGCTAGCCAAGACTTCCGAAAAGACTCTTTCTACCATCAGATGTGCTGCTGAAAGGGCAACTACTCCATTTTTTTGAAAAAAAAAAAAAGTGTCTGATTTATTGAGTCCCTCTCCCTTACCCACCAACATGACTATTTATGGAGACACACAATATTTCTATGAATAGTGTATTCATAAAAGGGATGATACCATTCATCCACTGTCAGTAACTTCTGATTTATTAATTTAGATTCTCTCGAGCTTTGAGTCAAGCTAGTTCATAGTACTTCCCCGTCTTTGGATCGAAATAGCAGTTCAGGCAGGGATCATAGAGCAGATTCAAATACTCATCCTCCTTCTCCTCTTCATCCACAGACTCGTCCCGTCCTACAACAAAGCAAGACGATCACTCTGCAACACTTGATAGTAATTGTTCAAAACAATCATAGATAACGGTGAATTGGATTAACATTGCATTAATTCAATTCAAACAGATAAAAAAAATGTAAAATGTATATTGTGTTTTCTATGTATAGTAGCATAGCTATGCCAGATATGAGTAAGGGCCTCCTCTATCAGCTGTTGCTGGAATGAAATGAAATGACAAGCGTGGATGGTGAGGTGACCTTCAGACTCAGGTGGATTTTAAAGTTTTCTGTCACTGCCATTCTTTCTCTCATCAATCAAGACCCAAGACACCCAGTCCCTGTACCACATTATCAAGCTGTGAAGAGATTCTCTGTAATCCCCACTACTTTGAAGTGAGAGAATTTAGCCGTTAAATTGACAGGCAGTTAAATGCTAAAAAGGTTATGGAATGCTCCAAGAGGAACCTTTTATCTTATCAGAAACTTCGGCGACGATAATGAAAACGAATTATAAGACACATTGTGTAGGAGGTTTAAAAATTATGTTGTAAACTGAAAAGGTTTCGTCAATTAACCTTGTCGATGTGTCTTGGGGGTACAGACCTGTAATGAGCCTGTCTCTTTTGACCTATGGAGTTATATGGAGGACAGAGTGTCAGGATCCCTGTCAGACCAGATGCCTCCCATGGCCACACAGCTGCAGCTACTTCAGCTAATCACCTCCTGCAGGCTGACACACCAGACTCGGGTCCCACTAACGATTCCCCTGGCAATATATAAACTCTGGGGTTGTCAAGTCGTACTGTCTTTCACCCGCTTCAACCCTGTTGCATCTTCGGCCTCAAGCGCCTGCCTCCAGTGTCCGTCGGTCCGGGAATCCCCCGTGCCCTCTGTGGTGTTAACGGACTACACACCGCTGCTCTGCCCTCCGTGGTGTTAACGGACTACACACTGCCGTCAAGCTACCAGCCCTCCGGTGTCGAGCCACGGGACTCACACCGTCGATCTGCCTACTCTCTGGTGTCGGACCACGGGCTCCACACCTTCCTGTCATCTTTATTCAGGCTAAATAAAACCTGTTTATACCAACTTCTGTCTCCTGTGGTCTTGCTATTGGGTCCTAACCGTGAACTCCCGTGACAGAGAGCTCCACTCATATGGCTCTTTACCCTTAATTAGACAGTTTCACATGCTTTCCCACCATATTGAGTGCAGTCTTTGGGTGGAAGCTTTGACATCGGTGAATGTTTCCATTAGTTCTTTGCATTTGCGCAATTAGTGTGGTTAATGTTAAGGCATTGTGTTGTTTGCCTGAGTGTAAATTACATAATAGGATGTCTGGGGGCAAAAGGACCAAAATTGAAGTTACTGTACCTCCGATTAGATCTTCTAAATTGTTCCAAGTGTTGCCTGACCTTCTCCGCTGGCTTGGAGGCATAATGGGAGGGCTAAGCACGTCCATCCACTCCCTATAGGGAAAAGACCATAAAAGCACAGTCATGACAACACATGCCATTACACACACCATCCTACTGTACCGTCGCCCCTCAAATTGCCTCCATGTGACATTTTAACTGACGTCTCATCATCGTGTGCTCTCACAAGCCCATCTAAGCCTCCACTGTCCTTGAGCCACTTCTCCTGCGTGCACTTAGCCTCACAGTTTTACCTAAGAGATAATTTATTAGATTCTGACTCAAGCTGTGACTTCCAAGTGTCCACATTCCGGCCCAGAGTAGATGTCTTAACCTTGCCTGTATCTGAGGGAGCAGGACTTCCTTTCTCTCTAAATGAGTTGATCTTCCCCGACAGAGAGCTACACAGGCTACAACTATACATCAATCATTTTCCAGTGAAGTGCAACACTACTCTTTTAGTACGGAGCAACAGATTAGAGGGAGACAAAAATATGCCACAGGATGAATTATTACTTGGAAGCACTGCAAGATTCACTTAAGCTGAATTCATAATAGTCAGTTATGCAATTATACATTAACATCTTTCGCCTCTGGAGATACCGTCTCATAAGTGCACATCACAACATATTTAATGAGGTACTATAATCTTCTTCTGTACAACATTTAGCTGACAGCAGACAATTCAAACATTCATTATCAATGATTGATAATGACACTCCCTCTGAAAAGAAAGTACATTCACTAACCACATTATAGTATGTTGACTAGACTCAAATTGTGACATGCTAGTACTTTCAGCAGGCTTCATTCAAAAGATTTACATTTTTATTATCTTCTCTGATTAACTTTAGTGTTAAAAGACTTAATAGGATGTTGGCTGGGTACCAATGAATCCCCCTTGTCATTATTTCAGTAAACACCATAATAATGTGGGTGTATGGACCTTTAGTGATATCTGCAACTAAATGCACCAGTGAAGTAAAAAAACAAAGCTGACAGCGCTACTTCAGAGACCTGTTTTATAGTATGTCAAAGAAACGACACTGTAACAACTGTATGAAAAAGTAAAAAGGTAAAATTCAAGGCTTTCAATTGAATAAGCCCCGACATGTTTAAGCACCATGGATTAAATTATTCCTGGTGAAAATCATAAAGAAATGCAAGGATTAACACAGCCATGCCGGTCAATTTATATCTCATCTCTCCGTGCAGTTAAGCCAGAATAAGAGATTTCTATATTTTTAAATAAATGCCTTTAAAATTACCAAGTACATTATCTTTTCTGAGGCTCTGATTTTTCTTTTTAACAAAGGCATCGACTCTACTTGAACACCCTTTTGACTGTGTGATAGGCAGGGACAGAGTACAAATGTTAATGAAAGCAATTTTCAACGACAAAGGCTTCTGCAGAGCTGAAAATTGAACTTCAAATGTTAAAAGGAACTTGGAGAGAGTGATTCAATTCTTAAGTTATTATTAATCAGATATGGAAGAACCAGTGATATAATAAATTAATTAGTTTGATTTCATTTGAGTGAGAACACTGATTTTGCACGGTAAAGAAGTCCATTGAAATCAAGCTTTCAAAATATCTCCCTGTGAAACATTGCCAAGGCAACTCTGTTTTGTCTGCATTTCACAATTGTTTTTTCTTTTAAGGCTGCTTACAGAAGTTTTAACTTTAGTTAGCACCTCTTTACTAAATATGATCAATCTGTCTTTACGAACAGGCCATGAACCACAGTCCTTCAAATCCTCTTCTTAAGAAACCATCTCTTGATCCAGAGGTGTTGGCCAAATATAGACCTATCTTTAACCTTCCCGTCCTCTCTAAGATCATCGAGAAAGCAGTCGCAAATCAGTTGTGTGACTTTATACATAACAATAGTTTATTTGAGAATTTTCAGTCAGGATTTAGATGCATCATAGCACAGACTGGTGAAAATGACATGCGTCGTAAATCATCTCACGTGATGCTACTCAGCCAATCAAATATTCATATTATAATAGACTTCCCGACTCGAGTGAGATTAAAACACACAGGAGAGACGAGCGACAGACCGAGTAGTCGGACAATAGTAGGCGAGTCGGAGAAGTTATTTCACGTGGTGTTCTCCAAAAAGAAAAAAGTGGTCAGCGAGACCAAAGTCTTTAACCAAGAATGGACAGACTTTTAAATGTTAATTCTTCCCACGGGCAGTTTAAAACCAGTATGTCTCATATGGTCAGAGACCATGGCGATTATTAATACTACTCAACCTCAGTACAGCCTTTGACACCATCAACCACTCCATCCTCTACTCCCGTCTCGGGTCCTCCCTCCACATTACTGACACAGCCCTCTCCGACCGTGAACAGTTCATTAGTATCAACAAATTCAAGTCTGACACAGCCCCAGTCTCTCAAGGTGTCCCCCAAGGTTCAGTACTCGGTCCCCTCCTCTTCATCCTCTACCTGCTCCCCTTTGGCAACATCATACACCACCATGGTCTCCATTTCCACTGCTATGCTGACCGACACCCTGCTCTACATCTCCACCAAATCCATCACCCCCACCATCCACTCCACCGTCACCAACTGCCTCACAGATATAAAAACCTGGATGCAAGCCCACTTTCTCAAACTCAACAGCGACAAATCTGAATTCCTCATCATCGGCCCCAAATCACGAAACAAATTCCACCATAACTTCTCCCTCTGCATCGATGGCACCACTGTTCCCACTTCCACACATATCCATAATCTTGGTATAATTTTATGATTAAACCCTCTCCTTTGAACGCCACATCAATCACAAAAACGGCCTTATTTCATCTCAAAAACATCACCCGTCACCCATCTCCGCCCCTCCCTCTCCTCCCCATCCGCTGAAACACTCATCCACGCCTTCATCACCTCACGACTGGACTATTCAATTCAATTCAATTCATTTTTGTATAGCCCAAAATCACAAATTACAAATTTGTCTCAGAGGGCTTTACAATCTGTACACATCGGAACAGGAAAAACTCCCCCAAAAAAAACCTTTAACGTGGAGAAAAGAGTGAGAGACCTGTGGGAGAGCAATAGAAGAGGGATCCCTCTCCCAGGATGGACAGAAGTGATGTCATGTGTACAGAATGAACAGCATAACAAAGTTACAACACATTCAATGTATATGACAGAACCACGGCAGGAGGCAAGACCAGGGTCCAGGTATAACCAGGATCCACGGGAACCTGCGAGGTGAGAAAGCACAAAGGCTCTGGTGAAGAAGCAAAGTCAGTCATGTGCATTAATGGTATCGGTAATATAAGATAGTAATGTGAGTAATAATAAAAGTGATATTAGCAACTACTGCTGCAACAGCATCCTGTACGGCGCATCCACCAAAATCATCAACAAACTACAATACATCCAGAACTCAGCTGCCCGTCTGCTCTCCCACTCCTGCACCAGAGACCACATCACCCCAGTCCTTCAAAACCTCCACTGGCTCCCCATACAGCAAAGAATCCAGTTCAAGATTCTCCTCGTTACATACAAAGCTCTTCACAACCTCGCCCCTTCATACCTTTCGGACCTCGTGCACCGACGTGCTCCCACCTCAGATCCGCTGAGGCCAATCTCCTTACCCCCCCTACTCTATCCAAGCATCACACTTGGGGGGACAGAGCCTTCTCTATTGCTGCCCCCTCCCTCTGGAACTCTCTCCCCCAGCACCTCAGGCATTCTCCGTCACTCGCCACTTTCAAAACTGCACTCAAAACTCATCTATTAAATCTGCTTTTAACCTCTGAAGGTTATGTATGTTTTTGTGATGTTCCTTTCTGTTATGTCATCTCTTTTGTTCATGTTGTAATTGCTTTTACCAGGTAAAGTGCCTTTGAGTACCTTTTAAGGCACTATACAAAAAAAGTATTGTTATTATTAGTTGAAGTGGCAATGAGACAAAGCACAAATCTTTTGAGCAAACGTACCCACTTACATCCGAAATTAAGCCACAGAAAATAAACCCAATATGATCAGAATCCTAAAACATGAATTCACTGCCCAACAATGATGTTAAGAGAGGAATAGAGCTGAAACAAGGTTTTAATAACTACACAAAAAAAATCTCTTTTTAGAGGATGAGAAAAATATAATATCATGCTTTTCTTGGTTGACATCACTTCACCCTGAATTAACTGAATTTAATGCTGCAGGGAAATTGAGTGAAATAAAATCAAGTACTTTATTTTAAGACACATTTTTCAAAAGCTTCCTGTTATTTAATCTTACTCTTAAATGCATCCGTTATTTTAATTGAAACGAGAGAGAAGAACATTGATTTATTATTAGATGATGTATTATTTATAATTCATCCAGTTCAATTTGAAAACTGACAATAAATATTGTTGAGATTCAATTGAGTTAGTTGTTGACTAAATACAGACGTTAATACAGCTACTAGGCTACAATATATATATGGGACTAAATCATAGCGCAAGTTAGACATTACTGGGATGTTCCGGACCTTTGCATGAGGAAATTCTCTCTAAATGGACCTCGTTGAATTTTAATTGAATACCCATCCCTAAAGGACATAAAAACCTGGATGAAGTGCAACTTCCTGACAAAACTGAAGTTATTCTATTAGGCCAAGACCAACTAATAAAAAATCAGTTATCTAATGATATAGTTTCTCTAGATGGCATCGCCCTGGCATCCAGCAGCACCGTAAAAAATCTCAGAGTTACCTTTGATCAGGATTTGCCCTTTAATGCATTTGTTACTTCTAGACTACTGCAATTCCATATTATCAGATATATTTATTCTATTATATTCATTTATTTCCATCATTATTCTGCTTACTACTCTCATTATATGAATAATTGATGTCATACGTATTGAATGTATCATAACTCTGTTATGCTGTTCATTCTGTACACATGACATCTATTGCACTTCTATCCATCCTGGGAGAGGATCCCTCCGCTGTTGCTCTCTCTAAGGTTTCTTCCTCTTTCTTTTCCCCGTGAAAGTGTTTTCTTTGGGTGAGTATTTCCTGTTCCGATGTGAAGGTCCCGGTACAGAGGATGCCGTATGTGCACAGACTGTAAACCCTTTGCGGCAAATTTGTTATTTGTGATTTTGGACTATACAAAATAAATTCAATTGAATTAATTTGCTATTCAAGGTATCTGTGACAGCCTGATTTTTGGTTTTCCATATGGTATACCAGCCAAAGTGCATCACATGCAAAGAAACATGTTAAAAATGCTAGAAAAGCCCTGGCAACATTAAGCGCAGCAATAGGAGCATTTAGGCTGTCAAGGAAACTGTAGATCTCAAAAGCGAGGAAGCCTTGCAATGATGCTCAAATAATAACATGATAGAATTCCCTGTAAGGGTGTCTCAGAATGCAATGCCTAAAAGAAAAGGAGCGAAAACAATGACAAATCCTGTGCAGCTGGTCTTCTGATCTGTAAACCAAGGCTTGCTTCAGAGTCTAATTTCAGAAGTACAGCTGCGGATGCTGTAGTTCTGTATGAGACAAGTCGGGGAGCATGTTTGAGCTGTCAATGGTAATATTCATTTCAGTGGACGTTCAATCAAACAGCATAACCTCACTGAATATTTAAAGAGCCCCAAAACATGTTAGAATTGAAATATGAAAATATCTAAATATATGGGAGTCTACACTTGTTCACAACAGGCTACCTCGCTTTTCATCAATAAATCAAAAGTGTTAGAGAAGAGGTGGTTGCATAATTTGAGTAGCGGACCTGTGATGCAATCCCTTTGTCTTCTCTTGTAACATGCCGCATGGTCGTGTACACCAACATAGAGATGGAGATGTGCAGAGACGGGGCTCAGTGGGGTGATGCAGGGTCTCCAGAACCCTTTGAGGGCAAACGAGGGATCTGGATCCATCCAAATGCTTACATGGTCGGGTCTTGAGATGGATATGCAGTGCTTGTAAGCGTGTAGATACTGTCCAAATGGTAATGTGTGACATTGTATTATCAATGACAGAAATGAAAAATGTCTTCTATCTTGTCCTCAACATATTAAACCTGCCTCCAAGAGGTATTTGACTATTGGAGCCTAAACTCTAAGCTATTTTTCCTTGCAGGAATATAACAAAAAACTGACTGACTGAAATGTCAATTAAGGTTCACTTTTCAGAACTATATTTAATCTTGTCTTGAAAATTAAGAAGTCCATTTACCTTAATTTAAAGAAAAGAAATACCACTACCAGATAATCTTTCACTGCTACATTACAGCCATCTGTAATGTTCAACACACGACAGAGCATATTGTCAGATTAAGTGTTGTAATTTGCCTTTTTGACGTACCCACTTTCTCTCATTTCACTTCTTCAACTTTCTGAGCTACACGATGTATTCTGTACCTGTAGTTGATATTGGATGCACTCTCCCAAAAAACATCAAGTTGTAAATTATGCTGCCTCCTCCAGTAATACAAGCCCATTCATCAATACGTTTTCTTTTTGAGGTTAGAACTGTAACTGTACTCTGGCTTTAACCTGCAGGCTGGTAAAACCAGGTGGAACATGTCTCGTGGTTGCTTTGCATTATGAACTACAAGGCTCCTGCCTTGCAGAAGTTGGCCATTGCTTCATCAATGATGGATTTCTTCTTGTATGACTGCTGAAAGGCAGTGCTTAAGGTGAGTCCAACTCTTGCATGAATTATCTAGAAGATAAAAAGTTTCATAAAGAGTTGCCAGTGATGAATATAACACGCAAAACAATAAGTGAGTAACTGGAGGGCAATTCTGACGAATGAAAGATGTTGAATATGTTGTGGTTTGTTGAAAAGCGGATGGTTAACTGAATCGGTGGCTTTAAAAGTTGAATAACAGCCATAACGTATGAAAGATGTGGTATATTTGCAAAATGCTTGAAGAAGTGTGAAAATGTCTAACCTCATTTAGATGCTACAGATACTCTCGCATGTTGATCTTTGCAGCTGTTTACACCGTTTAGACTTGAAACTAGCGATTGAGGCCATAAAATCATGTTTACAATGTTTACTGAGGTAATAAATCAAGTGAGAAGTATCTCGTAGACTCTCATAGAACACAGTCAGACTTCTTTTTGCAACCAGAGGAGTCGCCCCCTGCTGGCCAGTAGAAAGAATGCAAGGTTTAAGACACGTGCGCATTGGCTTCACTCGGCAGAACTGTAAGTTGACACCTATTTTAACAACCTATGACAAAGACCCACCTAAAAAAAATCTATATCAGTTTAAGTGTACCCTATATTTAGAATATTTTCCGATGGGGAACTGAACTGAAAGTAAAACGTGTCTATACTGTGTTTGTTAATGAAGGCTACTGGCTTTGAAGAGAGCTTCGATAAGTTTCACTTTTAGTTAATTTCCCCCTAAACATACCGTACACTTGAACGGATATTGATTCTTTTAGGTGAGCCTTTCTTTAAGGAAGCTAAAATACATTTTGCAGCTGTCCCCTTCCAAAGCTGTACATTGCTTTGCTCCAACCGCCATGTACTGAAGGTAATATAGTATGGATAAGTACATCATAGGACCCCTTTTCAAAAGACCCGAACTATCCCTTTAAAACGTTGGTATTGCTATGCATCAGCGTCACCTTAAGATCCCATTAGATTCAGGCGGATACGTTGGTATGAGTGGAGTGGAGGCAATGTTCGACTGAAGAATGAAATGGAGTGTAACACGTTGACAATTCCGTTGGATATCAGACAATGAAAATGCATGACAAAGTATGAAAATGTGTTCCAGTCTTTTGAATGCATGTTTTTCTAAAAGTATAACGGGTATGAATGATAATAGTAATAACAATAATGTCTTAATTGCTTCCAACCTTCACACCCAATATTCTGCACTTGTGAAGATGACAATAGCCGTTAAGGGAGAAGAAAACTACAGTACCTGGCATACACTCAATTTATTCAGACTCATCTGTGAGCGAGAAAAGCCCCAATTTGCATATCTATCTGACAGTTGACATTTAGCCTTAATTCGGCAGTCACTGCAGGTACCATCTGATTATGAATTTCAGGGTGAGTTTCATGTACATGCTGCTAAATAGAAAAAGAAGGCTACATAAGGCCATTTTCTGTCAGACATTACATGAAAAACATCAGTGTGGCTTGCACTTTTCTCAAGTATTATCACTTCTACTGACCAAGAAGTTTGAGGAGACGGCATGTTGTTCTTTTTAAAGAGAACGACTCTATCCATAGCCTGACCTTCATGCACAACATACAAGTAGCATCTATAAATGTGTGGTATCACTAAACAAGAGTTTTGTTTCTATTCTCAGACTGTGTCAATCTTGTCGAGTAGTGTACATTTTATTATAAAATAAAGTATTTATGCTATAAATGTGTGTGACACATGCTTTCTTACCTGGGGTTTGATTGCAGGAGGGGGTTCATTTCCTTCTGGTAGTGGTGACCCTGATTAGCTGGCTTGATCAGCAATATAAAGAAAAAGTCAAAGGTTGTGTTAAACATGTCACCAAATACTCAAAACTCAAGTATTAGCAATATTCAGTTATCTCCATTAAGTTTTAAAGACCACTGAATAATCTATTGGGGCAACAACAAAGAATAAAATATACACTCACAGCACTTCAGAACCACCTATTTCATTTAATGTAGGCCAGTAATGAAGGCTCACGTTTACCACCACCTTGGTTGCTTGATAAATGATCGTTGTCTCTCAACAGAAATTGTGCATGTTGACATATAAACTGTAACAGGGATCAACACGTTTTGTAGAGAGATCGCAGTTAATCAACTCAGTTAACCAACAGAGCACAAGCAAGACAAGGAATATTTTCCCGATGTCGTTAGTTCAACCACAAATGAATCCTAAAGTTTCTACAGTTTATGGAAATCCATATGCAGTCAGTTCAGGTCACGATCAAAAAAAGCCCTCCTCTATGTTGTGTGCCATATTAACTGGCAAGTGTGAAATAGCACTGACCTTCTGGCAAACAACAAGAGAAAAACACAAGAAAAATGGAGAGTGCAACAAGATGCAGAAAACATGGGTGAACAATGAAGGGTGAACAAACCAAGATCATGAGAGATCCTATGAAGTCTTCAGAAATGTATGTTGTAAATATTAAAGGGTGACGAAGGACTGGAGCTAGGTTGTATTGTGGATAGGGGCCTTTTAAAAGCTACATTCTTTGAAAAGTGTGCGTATAAGAGACCTTTAACTGAGGCAGAAGATAAGAATGCTTTCACATTCAATATATAGTAATATTCAGCTGTATGAAACACAAGTGCATTACCCTCTCCATCTTGCCAAAGCTAAAGACCATATTATAGCCTCAGGAGGCTATTTAAATCTAGTGCCCGTTTAAAGGCTATTACGCTACATGGCGTTGATGAAGAAGCAGCCATGCCGAAGCCGTGGTCCTTGCACTGCTTAAGTAAATGTTGAGCTATCTGTGTGCTCCAGTGCCTTCTTTATGCAATCCTCTTCTAAAAATAAGACGAGACCTTAAATTGCACCCTGTAGAATTCTGCAAGTAATATGTACTGAGGATGATTAGTTATCTGTCTCGTGATGGAGGAAATTATTTTGGGCAGGTAGGAGCTAAACCATTTCTGTACTCTATCTGTAATATGAAACCCAGTGCCTCAAATGTCATTTAAACATGAACTACAGAATCAAAGGGAAGGCTTGAGTCCAAAAGAATTGGATGCACATCTGCTGCGAAACAGAAGTACATAACATATTTTGATCACCTCTTTATTCATTGCTGCCTGTAGCTGCAGAGTCAACGTGATGACTTGTCTAAAACACTATCTGCTGTCAAAACAAAGGATAGGTCTTGGTGAAAAGGTCTCTGCATAGTGCACCAGGTATGGTTATGCCTTGGTCCTCAACACAGCCCAACTTTTAGTTGGCTCTTGTAGCTGGCACCTCTGTTGTTTCACTAGTCTGCTTAACTGATGCTCAAACACTTTGCTATCCTGGTGCCCAAGCTGCACTATCGCTCCCCTTCTAACATATTCACCCCTGAGCATCATCTGTTATCCTGCTGGGTCAAATGATGCTACAACAATCAGAAAACATAAAAGAGCTCTGCTCATCTCTGATCAGCGTGGCTGTAAACTGTGAATCATTTATGGCGCTTTGCCTGCCCTCTGTTTTGGAGACGTCATCTCAGCAGAAAGCTTTGGGTCAAAACATGTGTTTGTAAAACTACGCCGCACAGCATTTCTGAGCTGCTCAGAGCTGTTTGGCATTGACGTTCAACCAAACAGTGCTGGTGCCAGATCAGATCTTTTTAACATCCATCTTACTGCCTTATTCATCAAGGCAGTTTCCAGTTTATTGCTGGTGGACCAGTTCCATTCTAATATATTAGAATATATTGGACTTAGCCTAGCTAAACATAAGAAGCTTGTTTCCCAAATTGGACTTTGTACATGTGTTGTTTAATGAAGCTACACCAGATGTTTTATCTCCACAGAAACATGGCTCAATTCCAGTGTTTAAATAAACCACTTAGCCAGAAATAATAATTTAGGTGGGCTATAATGGGTAAAATTGACTGGCCTCTGGCACATTGTAATACCCCTATTTCATCATATACACTGACTTAATTACTGAATATGTTAATGAGTCTGCCTACCTGATTGTAAACATGTAGTGAATTATTGTAAAAGAGAATTAGACTTCTTGTGCATTGCAACCCACACAGTCTGTAAATAAATGTTTGAATTTGAAACCATGCCTATTCCTGATTGATCAGAAGTTTTGTGATTAAGAATCATTAGGCCTTATTTATTATTTATTGAAACCTTCCCTGTGGATGTCCCCCGTCTGTACAATCAATGCAATTCTGTCCGACCCTGAAGACATGTTGAACACGCATAAATTCAATGTTATAAAAGGATAAAATTATCAGAACAATACCAACATTCAGGCTTCTTCATGTGGCTCAAAGGTGTACTGCAGACATAAATGTTAAATAAGACACGATGGAAGAAATTAGCTAATTTATTTGGCGAACCTAATAAAATCTCCTACGACCCAGCTGTGGGTCCTGACCCGGTGTTTGGGGACTCTCGTCCTGCCTTGTTTGGAAGTAGTGATCGTAAAATGTACATGCATAGCAAATCACAACCTGTTAATTAAAGCTATTTCATTCTAATTAGAATTTGATATAATGAAGTATCCGGCTGGACTTTAAGTGCGTGGTCGGCTGTTTGGCCGGCACTTATGGAAAGCTCTGCTACTCGTACTTTTTTTGGCTGTGCTGGGTGTGCCAGCTTGAGATTTAGATAGCTCAGCCACAGCTAAGCACATCTAGGCACACCCGAGGCTACACGGCGGGTTCCAATGAAGACTCGAGTGTTGCCGGACATAACTCATTTAGATGTGGCAGGAAACGTAAAGGACATGTGTTGATTTATGAAAAGAGTTGTTTCACTGTACAATTCCTTAACTCTTCTTCACAACACTGACTATGTTGTTCTGAATGTATAAAACGAGGGGAATGCTTCGAGAGCTTCTTTAACAGAATGTACTTTACTTTAATTTACCTCAGTGCATATTCTGTTATTCAGTTCAGTAAAAAACACTTGAGAATGAAACTGGTCCTTCACTCTGCTCTCGTCAGTAGTGGATTGTTAAAGTCCCCCTGTTATTAACACAAGTGATAGAGTTTAATATTTTAATAAACCTTTCATCCTATCACAAGATGTATTTGATAGTTCACCTCCATGTCAAAACCCAACACCTATTCTACATCCCCACTGGGGTTTATTTTGACTGACACAAATTCACAATGAAGGATGAAACTGCCACTTTTCAAGCCGTGGGGGGTTGAGTATTCTATACAAAAAGATTTTGGTTGGAGTGTTACTTTTTGAGTGCTTTCTTTCTTCTAAATCTGTCATGGCTGTAATCTGACATCATGGTCTGAGACAAAAACAAGACTTGACAGTTCTTACCTCAGTTATGTGCTAGCGAATATGTATCAAATCTCTCTCTTTCTCTTATATATAATTGCCTGGGGGTGAAGTTAATGGTCCAGTAGCTTTGGCAGCAGAGACAGCAACAGTATAGATGGCAACAACAGACCACTCGAGTCACAGCTCCAGACAGTGACTATTCTCTTCCTCGGTCCCAAAACCATCTCCTCTTTGTTTTTTCTTTCACTGACTTTTACGTCTTTCTTTATGTCTCTTCTTCTCTCTCTGTATTGGCAAAGCCTTTTTTTAATATGCTGATGGTGGTGCTGTTGCCATATGTATTCAAAATTTGTAAAGCACTGCAGCTTATTCGGAAAACATCACTTCGGGGTTTGATTAAGTCAAATGTAAATTTCATCCTGTCCCCGTGGAAAACTGTTCCAACTGTGCGGTCTAAAGATATATGTCCGTATTAATCACCACATCACTGTGTCCTCTGAAAAAAAAAAAAACAGTGGAATGATAATCCCTGCGGTGATACCACTATTCAATGTGTTCTGCTTGAATCTCAGTATGTTAATGCATACCTGCAAGTACAGAAATGGTAACAGGCCTATAACGCCAGCATCTGTAATGACTGTATCACTGGGGATCCCACAGTATATCCTTTAGGGCCAGGCAGGGCAGTGTTCTCTCTTCACGGGTGCAATGTGCTTATGCTAATGGCCCATACATCTAAATGACCTTCAATAGAAAAGCGCAAACTATGCCATCTTTGAATTGTAAAAAGACGTCTGGGGATCATGTCAAATGACCTAAATAATTTTTTTTGTCACAGGCGGGAACCGTGGATATTATGCCAGTGTGCTTTTTAAAGCTGTAAGAGGCCACTTAATGTGCTTCTATCTCCATAATCTTTTGTAATGCAGAAAACACGCTTGGAGAAAGACGGGCATTAGCACTTCACTGTGGCACGAGTCCTTGAAATGGAAATTAACAAGGGTGAGGATCAACCCAGGTCAAGAAAATTATTCCAGACGGGAGATAGAGGGAAGGACAACGCACTAACGACTGTAAATAGTAGATGAGCTGCACGTGAGTGTTGCTCGTTAGTGAAGAATCAACAATGAAGGATCAAGAGTAGCAGAAGATGACAGTACAGACCGTGGAGATGTGGGTCCAGGTAGAGGCGTCGTCACTGCTCATGCTGACGCTGACATTGCAGTGGTGGATCTGGGATACACTGAGGCCTGAGGCTCTACATTCATATTCTTCCTGCTCCCTTTTTAGACTTGCCAGCATTCGAAGCTCGTGATCATCATCCCCGTGCATTCGTAGACTGCTAAGCACGTGTAAGTTGTAATTGCTGGAGTCAACAGGCTTCAGTGTGTTGGTGTCTTCTGCCTTTAAAATGATTACCTGTGGAAAAAAAAGAAATTACTTTTTTGAAAGCAATTCCAATGACAATGCACTTAGTCACAGTCACACATACACACTAGAGGGTGAAACAGGAGTGGATTTTCACTCCTGTCCTGTCCCAATCCCAACACAGAGTCAAATAATTGAATTCCTGTCTCGTCCCAATACCAGAAGAATTACTCCTGTCCCATCCCGTGTTTATTCATATTAGAACAGCATATTTCCATATAAAAACAGACATATTGTGATTATGATTCTCGTTAAAGTCGAGCAAATCTCAAAACAGCAGACAGAAGTCATAGACAGAGCTCAAGGCAGTGCTGGACAGCCTTAGTTTTGATCCTCTAAGTTAATGTCTTAAACAGTGGATCTGCTGTTTTAAGAGAGGGCTTTGTTAACCTGAGTTGTGCAAGGATGCCTGGTGTGGCCCTGGTATTGAATCAATGGCAGTCAATAAACCAGGGCTGCAGGGAGGGAAACAAACTCCTTGTCATATTTCTCTGACAACCTTTCAGTCAAAGCCCTCACTGCATGTCGCCTGCTGGAGTTGGCACGAATCAGCAGTCAAGAGCTTGCCGTGATGAAGAATGCTGGGACATGTCTCAGCAGTGAGTTGTGTAAATGCAGAAAGCAACAGCCAAGTGACAGATCTCCCTTCAGGCCTTGTGATCTCTCCAGTTGACTATACTGTGATCCTGGGTCTTTTCAACTGGAGCGGCGGCCAACCTCAATTTGTAACAGACTGTATAGTCTGATCCTTCTCAGCACGGCATTACAAACTTTTTCACAAGTCTTCCGAGGCTCTGTTTCTCTGGCACAAAATACACGTATAAAGCCATAGCGCTCTGGATGAGGGCTGTTGTAGATACGAGCAGTACCTTGTGCTGTGTGGAGTCATTTAATTTGACTTCTTGCAGGAATCTTCTTGAAAGCGATACGCTGCTGTTCTCATCCACAACCTGGTTCACCACCTCTGCTTCACGTGGGCCACACTTGACTTCCTGTCTGCTGGGTGTCGCACTGGGTGAGCGGCAGCGTGTGGGGGCGAGCCGAGCTGGTTCAGCTCTCACACTGGATGGAGACTTCATACCGGTGGCAGCTGGACTGAGCTCTTTTGGTGTTGTTTGATTAATGTTGTGAGATTCAGGATGGACTTCAAGTTGCAGATCTAAAGTTGGACTGGAAGATCTGGGAGTAACAGGGTTGAACGTGTTGTAGCTCTTATCCTGAAAGAAACACAGGGACAAATTGATTCGTTATAAATTATTTTAAACACTGTAAAAGGGGTGATTGTAAGAATACATTGTAGACTGTTTCTAATGTCACCTGAACAACTTTAACGTTCTGCCCTTTAGATTGATGTGTGCTTAATGAAATACGATAATGAGATGGCAAACAGTCATTGGGATTGACCAGGGGTTGGTGGGTTAGCTTTAAATTAACCTCACATTTAAAAAGGGTAATGGCACTCTCTTTAAGTCTGCTAATCTCTCCCACCTTCAGATCCAAAGTTACCACTCAGTGATATAGTTCACAATGTGTCGCCTACCAATCAGGTTACATAACACACTCCAAATACACACACAGTACACGGTGCTATTCAACATTAAAGGAATACTCCGCTGAAAGCCTGAGTTTTGAATATCAAACACTCACCCCTACAAACCCAGAAAGATACGTGATTCTGAAAAGTTTGTAACTTGCTCATTTACTGAGGACAGTAGCTGGATTCACAAAAGTAACAATAGATTCTAACTGTGACCCAGTTTCACAGCAAAAAAAACTCCCCATCGAAACTTTTCAAAAAAGTCCTGCAGCAAAAGCCACTTCTGTCACCGACAACACAGGTTCACCAAACGATACTTAGAAACCCACAATAAGGGAAGTGTAGTAGATGCATACATCAACACGGACTAGCGGCAATTGAAAGCTGGACAACAAGCCATACTGGAGGAAATGTGATTGTTTTGGACCAAACTGAGCATGCAGTCTGTGTGGACAGAGCATGACGATGCTTGATCAAAGTTTCTGTGGACATTTTGAAACATTGTCTTTTGCTGTGAAACTGGGTCACAGTTGGAATCCATTTGAACTATTGAATCAAAGCTGAAAGTTACAAACTTTCCACAGCTACCACTGAAGACAAGGAGTGAATGTTTGATATTTCAAAACATAGATTACAGTGTTCCTTTAATGCCATCATTCTGCACCATCTCAACAGTCAAATAGCGAGCACGCCTACACTTTTTAAGTTCATATTATAGACATTGTTTCTCATGATTTGGACTGTTTGAAGCTTCCCTAAGACCTGCAAACTCTCTTTGTTTCTTCACTTTGCAGTCTCCTTTTGAGGCATTTTCTTTCATCTCTGACTTTAGTTTTTGGGGTTTAGGGCATTGGCACTTTAAGGTTTTTATCTCACCTGCTCCACATGTTATTTGTTTTCTCTTTTCTTTCAAAGCATTATCATTTTCATAAGTGCAAGTGAATAAACAATGAGCTTCATATATTATTGAAAGGACTTTTAATGGGTGTGGCTGTGAGCATGTGGGTTTGCAGTGTGTGTGTGTGTTCCAGCCTGTGTTTTGAGGGCATGTAGCATTGCTCTGTTTAGGATAGCATTTGAGTGTCATGAAAGCAGTTGCTATACTACTGCATAGTACATTCTTTCAGTTCTTATTGCATTAAAATAACTGATATTATTATTATTATTATAAATTGGTCTATTTTATTTCATACATTTCAAAATGTTTCTGCAGGTTCATTGCTTTGTTCTGCCTTTAATATTTCTCTATGTTTAAGAACAAATGTTATCTTAAAAGAATTGCATGAAACTGATGCAACACCTTGAAAGATGATATTGCTCCAAGTTGAGAAATGAGCAACCTGCCATAAATGAATGAAAATCAAAATCAGGCCAACTTGTGTCCGATGGCTCACCACATTCGGATTAATTACTATAGTCAGGGTGTCAGAATATGGTGTCTTAAACATACTAAAGCTTCTCGCTCTCATGATCTTGGTTTTGACTTAGTTTGTTTCCTGTTTTATTTTGAAGTTCCCTGGGTTAGGGTTAGGTTCCCTTGTGTCCTGTGGTAGTTTAACTTCCTGTCTATGGGGTTTTCTGTAGATCACCTGTGTTGCATTAGTCTCTGCAGCCCAGTGTTTCTTCCACCAATCAGCTTTCAGCCTGCACTCACGTCTCCCCACCTGTGTCTTGTTGTCATATTAGTTTCTTGTGTATTTATAGTCCCGTCTTCCGTCTGCTGCTTGTTGGTTTGTCTGCTATGTTACATGTTAATATCGGCAAATGTCCAATTTACCTGGTCCTGTTTAGTGTTGTTTTGCCTGTTGGATTCTCAGCTACTAATTTTTGGACTCACCTGCCTTGTAACTTTTGTTTTGGACATTTCATTATGAAAATCACTGTTTAGCATCTTTCTGCTCCCCCTGTCTGTCTGGATTTGGGTCCATCCCCTGTTGTCCTTTTGCCAAACTGTGACACTAGGAATGCAAAGCTTATGTGATATGCTAAAAAAACTGTTTCACAACCTATGTTGCATGTCTTGCACTTTATACTGTACCTGTATCTATTTTTCTCATGTGCAAGCTTATTCTAAGTACACATACTTTTTTTTATGTAAGTCAACATTTAACACAGATAAGTGTTTTGACATTTTGTCTTCTTTCAGATATCTTCAGATGATAACTTCTAACTTTCTCATAGAGCAGACACTTTGCTGCTTGCTCTCCGCTCTGTTTACATTATTTTGCCGATATCCTTGTTTTTCACAAGCCTTTTTGATGTGTCACTACACTGAACTACAGTGTCTGCCAAGACTGGAGATTAGCTGATGTTAGTAAGCTTTCACAAAAAATATTGCAGTGCACTAAGATCCAGCGATTAGACATTGGACAACAACAGACTAACACCAATAAGACAACTACGAAACAGGAGTGCTGTCAGTCAGGAGTAAAACTGTTCCTACGTCACCCTTTGGCTCTGTCTGCCAAGGACAAGAGACAAGAGGATTCAAGATAATGACAAGAAATAACACAACACACCGGAAAGCTTTCAAGGTAGGGCTGTAATCTTCTTCAGAATCATTTTTTTATATTTTTGCTGAAATTCTCATTACATCCTGACAGCAATCAATGAATCAAACTGACAGAAAAAATGAAATAACTGTGGCTGTCGCAGGATTGTAATAAGCCAGTCTAATCTTTTATTACAGCCCAAATGTGATAATTGGATGTGCTACCTGCCTGTCTACCTGCCCGTGCACTCACTGAAGAGACGGGCTGCCAGTGTTGCTGACTTGGAAACTTTCTTATTAGATTTAGCAACTTTTGGGTCTAGTGCTGCCAGCTACCTTCATTGGAAAAGGGTTGGAAACAATGAGCTGGGTTTTTCGGTTGGGCAATTAAAAGAAATCTAGCGTACTCTTGCTAGTTTCTTAAGATCACCAACCGTAGCTTTAAGAAAAGACATTTTAGACCCTGCTTGAACAAAATTTAAAACATGAGGGATGTCGGAATCAAGAGTCTCTACCACACATGCCAATTACTACCTGTGAGGATTCACTTTCTTCAAATGTCTTCGTCTTAAAAAATTGAAATCTCCACCACATAAAAGAACAGAGAAGACTGATTTTTGCATTTTATGCATTCTACGTATTCTGTTTCATCTTATTTTTGATCTTTCATAATGTGTTTCTTTGGCCATAACCCCTCCTGGAGTTCACTGACCAAATAAAAGAACTGGCCACAGCTGGAACCAAACTTACCTGTTGTCCCTTCCCTCTCCCTTCCTCAGTTTCTTTCCCCTAAGGCCCCTCGGCGTCCCCCTCCACCATTGGTTGTAAGCCCCTGCCAGCTTTGACACTTTTCATATATCCTGGTTTTTAGTTTTTTAACTGAAACCGTGGCAGCACACCAGTTCTCTTTGAGTCAGCCCCACCAAACCTTGATAAAGGTTTCTCGACCTGACAGGAAAGATGTTGGTGTTGCTCCAATAATTAAAGACTCATTTCCGTGCAAGCCGTTATCATGAGGTGATTCTACTGTTAATAATTTACAGACCAAGTTTTGATGGATTGTTGATAACTTCACTGAGCTGCTTTCTGACATCTCAACAGATGAATCAATATGAACATTCACCCTCGATAATCCCAAAGACAGTCAGTCTGTTTGAAATGTTTGATCTGTTGCAGCATGTGAAAGGGTCAACACAGCCAAGGGCACACACTGATTCGCACAGGTGTTGATATTTCTAACAGCACAAGAATATCAACAATTCTTCTGCCTTATTTACTGCTGTTGAAAAATGTAATAAACCCTCAAAACGAATGGCCCCCAACTTCCTATTTCTCAATAGGTGTAATGAATTTGAATCTTTTGTAAGTAATAAAAAATTGAAAATGTCAGACTGAACATAAATTGAACGTCAAACCGTGGAACAAGAACCACGACTGCAATCTCACAGAAACAATGTGGCTAGTTTTTCAGCATTCAATGCTACCAATACTCAGCGTCTGGAGGATGTAGTGAAGTGTCTTAAGTCATCCGTTCTAAGTGTTAATCTGAATGTCATCTGCATGTGTCAGCACATGTTGTTTTATCATCCTGCCATCGATTTATCAAAAATGTTTTCAGTTGCTTGGAAATTTTCGGTTGCTTCTAAAAAAAGGACAACCTGGTCCTGATCATTTACTATGAAATAATTACAGATCCATATGTAATCATCACTTCACAAAATAAAAATATGTAGAAAGTTGTTGATATTCATATTAACTATTTTTTTTTATATAAATGGCCTTTTGTTCAGATTTCAGTCTGGCTTTGGAGCACATCACAGTCCTGAGACTGCACTCATAAAGGTGCTGAATATGAATGAATTCAGGTAAAACATCAGTTTGTACGCTGCTTGATCTTAGGAAAGCCCTTGACAATGTTACTCTTACTGACCATAAAATACTTCTTGACCAACTGGAAACGTGGGTGGGTTTATCTTGGCTCAGAGGGCATGGACTATGTTACTATGTTGCTGCCTGGGGGTGATAATAAATCTGAATGTATCGCAATGGCACGTGGAGTACCCAAGGGTTTCGATTCTTGCATCTTCGAATCAAGAAACTTCACTGCACTATGTCATCATCACGTCAACGTGCTAACTCTGCTTTCACAGAATTATATAGCATACTTCTTTCTTTCCCCTCTAATCAAGATTCATATCAGAAACTGATTCTAATGTGTTAATTTGAAAACATGCTCCTTTAAATAACCCCCTCAGACACATTTTCAGTGTTTATTATTGTGAAAGGTTGTTATTTCATTTTTCTGCATACATTTTCTTTTAACCTCAATTGTTTAACACAGTTGCTGTCAGTTACTTTCCTAGAATGCCGATGGACGTTCTCTAAAAAGTCGCATTTGTGGTTTTCACATTCGAAGGTGAAGGGAGAAAATGACTCTCTATAAGCTAGGCAATATTAATGGAAAGTGAATTGTCCTGGTTCAGACAGCACACACTGCACATACTATTCTACTAATCAAAGCCCAGGCAATACTTTCCTATGGTGGGTGGGCTTCTTTCAGAAGTTTTTTGATGGATCATTATTCGGGTTGTGTTTGAAAAGGCTATGTGATCATTTCCCATTTAACGAGATAACCTGTCTCATAACCTGTGTGTGTGTGTGTGTGTGTGTTGTACGATTTCTACCTACCTTGACAAATGCAGCTACGTGTATTTAAAAAAACATTTTTTGGGATCTAGTACCAGGACGCACTGCTGATAATAAGCTAATACCACAGTATTTTTGGCTAAGTAATGTAAAATAGAGGATGGAAAATTGAAAAGTTGTGCATGTTCAACAGAGGTAAACATTTACTCTTTGTAAGACAAAGAAACTGTAGGTTTAGTACCTACAGTTTACAAAAGTCACCATACAGAGAATCACATTTTTGCCAAACAGAACCTGTTATATACTGCTTTTCTTACCAGGTCTTACCTGGCGTGAGTTCTTTACATGCACATCTGCACATGCACACAATGTCAATGGGAAATGTGAGTCTTGAGAGAACCCCGAGTTACTGATACCAAAACCTGACATTTACTCTAAATGTTTTAGAGAAGATTTTCCCCTGTTGACTCGTGGAAATATACTGAATCAGTTGCACATTGTTACCTTATCCTCATCATACAGGAATGTGGTCTCTTGATGTCATCAACGAGTTTAAAAGAATGCACCATCAAACATCAGATTTGACACATGCATGCAACAGACACTCTTATCTGTTTTTCTTCAGGTTTTTGTGTTTTAGGGTGGATTTTGTCTTTAACTTGGTGTATAGAATACATTCATTTAATGCCATAGAAATTGTATTAAAATTAAACTAATCAGCTGCGCAACAAAATTAGCTTCTTAAGTCTGAATTATCAGACTTATTATAATGTTTTAAATAAGTAAAAGCAATTAGCATTTCTTTGAAGATAGTCATCTTTATAGTTATACTTTATAGTTGAACAGCTTAATTCCCCTGCTCAGCATAAAGAAAACTACTATTCTTAATTGTAAGTCTCAGAGCCATCAATAAATGATCTGATGGCAAATACACTGCAACTAATCAAACTAAACTGAATTCAATCTAACTGTGACAGATATTATAATAAACTGAATCTATTCTGATGAATTGAGATTAAATCAGATAACAAAAATCTGAATACATTTTGACAAATTATATTTTGGAAATCTGGTGTACATCTACACTGTCAGTGTCTTTAGTGTCAGAGTAACACACTGTGAGATGCACTTCAAATGTGTGCACATTTAAAGTGCAGCATGCACATGTCTATCCCTGAGAGCAGACGTACCTCATCACTTTCACTGCCGATAAAGTCATCCTCGAGCTGGGCCTCATACCGCCTCCCATTTTTGTTCTGAACCTGATCATCTCCCATCTCCGTCTTCTCCTGGTCGCCCTGGCCTTGCCCTCGTTTGGGTGAGTGTGGCTGGGATGAGAAAGTGAACACCTCCCCTTGCAGAGTGAGCTGGGGCTCGGTACCCTCATTAGTCTCCCAGCTGGTCCAGTCCAGCAGGTCACTAGAAAAACCTGGACGGATCGAGCAGGAGAGAGACTCTGCTGGTGTGGGAGCAGCTCCTGTACTGTCCTTGGCAGGAGTGCAGCTATACACATCTAACATTTTAAACAGATTAAAGAACAAAAACAAGACGGGAGTAAATTCTCTATTTGAAACATACAGTATTTTGCAAAATAAAGAGGATTTGAGTGTGCAAATTGTATAATAGATGAATAAGTCTTTCAGAATGCACGTGAAGGTCTTATCCACAAATACTGTGTAGAGAATAATGATAGGAATCTAATTACAGTGAGTAATACATCCTTTTTTCATCACCTGACTAATGTCATTCTAATTTCTTTTGAATATATGCACATACAAATTCATAATAGCACTATGCAAAATTGTAATGAATTCTATTGCTTGCCAAAAGAGAGCATAAATTCCTCCCGCACTGACATTTTTTGTAGGTTTTGTTAATAGCCCAGCTATGCTAATACCTTAATGACAATATAAACAACATAATCTGTAGTGAGAACAGCAGTTTACTGCACAGCTGTCACTCTCTGTCCAACATCCTTAAAACTCTAACTGATGTATTTTCCAAGCAAATAGTGCTGTCATTCTGCTTTAATCTTTTGGTTTTCAACTTTTGTTAAGATGGAAGACAAAATCTTACAGTAGTGTTACAATGTCGAACAATATGCTCCTGAATATGTGGGTAAAATCTTTTTAACCCTTAATTGAAAGATGCATCCATTCATGTGTGCGTGCAAGACACTCTGGATCCTTCCACTCCACGATAGGCCTGAGATCAGAGAGAGAGGCACCTCTATCTGAATGAGTGCGCAGATCTCAACCTCTCAACAGTACAATCACTTTCTCTAATTGCCCACTGTGTGGCAAACACTGGACTCAGGAGATGTCCCTCTGACTTTTATTTAATGTGCCACATTACCATTAATGAACTAACTACTTTCTCTCTGTTGGTACGGCTGCAGCAAAGAAGCTTATTGCTGAGGAGAAATGTCGATAAGTGAGCTTTCAGAGCATGTGCACTCTTTTTGTGCGGACAATGCTAGTGTGTTTGTGTGTGTGTTGTGTGTGTGTGTGTGTGTGTGTGTGTGTGTGGGGGGGGGGGGGGGGGTTTGTGGTGGTGGTGGTGCTGGTGGGATTTCATAAGCTGGAGCAGGACAAGGTACTCCTACAAAAATGTTGAAAATGGCCTTGACGTGGGCTATGCAAAATTAAAAAAGGGGAACAAAAGCGATGGTGTATGCAGCATAGAATGAGGCTCATTGAAATTCATGCAATATTTTAAATGTAATTTATAAAGTAGGATTTTTTTTTCTTCTCAAGTAGAAAGGACCTACTTGGTAAAATCAGAACATGCAAAGTAGACAGTCAAATATGCATATTATTCTCTTTTGTTCCATCCCTCACTGTCTTGTTAGACTCTTCCAACCACCACTCAGTCTAAAAGTGCACACGTCTTCCTGCTGTCATGCTCGCCGTCTATTCCGGCAGATGTTAACCTCACCTGCTGTTAGGTGATTTGTCTTTTCTGTTAAGGTCAGAGGTTGTTGCTTGCTCTCTCGCCAACTGGGTGGAGGAGTTTTACTTCTCTTTCTTCGGCCACCAGGTACAGCATCTGGAGTGGCGTTTAAGCACAATGAAATACCGTACCGTATTTAACCATGGCACATTCACCAAACCATATTTTGTATTCCAACATAAACAGAGAATATATTGATGCAGTGCACACATCTTACCTGACGATACTAGCCTCTCTCTTCCAGCACTGTAGACACGTAGCTTCTTAGATCCCTGCTTGTCCTTTGGGGGATGGGGCTGCATAGTGCCAAGTGTCCCTGCATGCAGTACTTTCAACATTAGAAAAGCTTTATAACACAAAACAGTCAAACAACAATGTTATTATAGTTTGCCAGAAGCATATCTGTGAACTGATTATGCAGTGTGAAAATCCCTATTAATGAAGGCATTTCAGTAACTGAGCTTCTTGCATTCATTCAGTGCAGGGAGAATACATTATGTTCAGCTGAATTAAGGAATTTTAATCATCAGTTTTTGCATTCAGTCATGCTCAAAGGACGTTGTATTACCAACTATAAAATATGTTATTAGGTGCTTGGGAGAACATGCTTTGACAGAGATGGGCTTTTGTTTTGTTGGTTCATTTGTAATGCTTTTACCGATGTACAAGAATAATAATAAAGAACAGCTGTAATTAGAGGATTAGTGTGCACTTTTACAGCAGAGAGTGCACTTTAAGTTATGTAGTCAATATCCTGTTCTGAATAAATGCATTATACGCACACTATATTCACATGCCTGAAAAACAAAAGACTGAGTGATTTTTCGCCATCCCCCAGAGCATTAGGTATTTAGATGTACTAAGTCAAGGCTAACTAGACTCACTCGCAAGTCTTCCAGCTTCACGTTCTCTACATGAAGTGTTAAAATCACTACATCAGGGACAAAATATTGATATTATATTGTTATTGTGATTTGGTAATTTGACAAAACAGTAAAGTAATGTATTTTCTGAGCTTGCCAGACTGTTCTATTATTTGCCTTCACCTAATTAGTCATTATAGCCACATTACTAATGATTATTTGACAAAAATCCTATAGTGTAAATATTTTATAAAATAAACCAAAGTCTACCCTACAGTATCATCGCGTTATGGATATTGAGGTATTTGCATTAATATAACGTGATATTTGATTTTCCCTACACTACATTTTATTTACCATTTACTTATCATTAAAGTTAAGAAAAACTGCTTTCATGTCAATCGATCAGTCAACGAGACCAACAAGAGCTAGGTGAAACAACACAAACTCAACGCTACATATTATTGATTTGCTTTGTTGGCAATATTCGGAAAATTGGTATTCAACTCAAAGCAATGCTTGGGGACATTATGAACTAATGATGGTTTTGGTAATGGTGATATTAGTATTTACTTAATAATCAATAATGACTGCTGAGCACTTCTAGGCATTGCGCTTTCCAAATAATGTTTTATAGTTACAGCACTCAAATGTAATTCTCTGTAAATTTTCCAAAAACGCTATATTTCTGTATTAAGTTCAGTTTCTTTTTTTATTTCATTATTTTCCTCCTTATTCCCGGCTATCAGTCATTAAGTACATATAATGGTTCACTGACTCACTCAAATTGCGTTATGTGCGTTATATATGCCGCCCTGTCATCTCTCTTATTTGCTATGTGCCTTTACTGATTGCTTATCATTAAACGTGCTTTTGAACAAAAAGCAAGTAATCTTCTGCCTTTTAAGATAACTGCTCTGCATCCTGCTTCTGGGTCCACATTACAACTTAGACTATAAATTTAACAATTTATTTTGTTCTTTCTTCTTTTCCATTATCTGCTTTGGAAGAGCGAGAGAAGCAACTGACTGCTATACAGAGATTAACATGAAAACAGCAGGTGTGGGTTTTAACATCCAATCAGAGGAAGAATCAGTCATGTATGGGTTTTATAAAAGAAACGTTCACAGGCTCACAAAGAAGCTCTGGTTGGTGATGTGGGTCATAAATACACACGTTTGGAAAACAAGATCTAAAATCGTAATTGAACAATCGATGATCTCCAATTTTCAACACAGAGTAGCTGATGTCAGGAGAAGGAAAACAATAGACTTAAAGACTAACAGACCTGTGCTCTGTTTATTTAACTGAATATCAAATTCATTTATTTGCTCTTTTTGTGTTTATTGTTCTGTAGTCAACGCTACTATAATGGCCACCACCCTTACCTCTTAACTATTGTGTGAGTCAGTGTGTGTGTGTGTGTGTGTGTGTGATGGCATCTTCGGTATCTTACAGCAAGTGTCAGTATACAGAGTTGCTTGTCATAAAGGTACGACGCTCAATTTGTATCACATTTCATTTTTAAATTTTTGTCATCTGTAGTGTTAAATTGTATTGTTAAACTTAATATGTTATATAAGTACTGTACATATTGAATGTGAATAATAAAGTCAAAAAATGATAAAGAGACGATGATGACAGTGACAGTTCCCTCTGTGAGTGTTTAAACAAATCCGTTTACTGTGTGGCACCAGAGTCTTAAACAAGAAGAGAAAGAAGAGTAGCAGCTTCCATATTTGGCCAAATAACAAAAGAATGGTTGCCATGGCAAGCACATGCACCACAAACAACCACAACCCTCTCACGTTCTGCAGTGACTTTTTGGTTCATTCTTTTGGACGGGGTTGCCTGTGAGGAACAGCACAAGAAGAAAAAGTTCAAATACAACATGTTCTATTTTGTACTTATGGTAATGTATGACATATAGAGATATATGTTAATATGGGATTCATGAGAAAAGGAGTACACTTTTATCCATTCCGTCTGAGGCTGCACTGCCTTTTCTTCCAGTTTGAGGGGGTGGGCCTGAAAGCGTGGAGCCTGAGGCTGCGTGTAAAACCCCCTGGGGCCCGGATCGCCGAGAAGCGGTAGATGTGGCAGTGGTAGAGTGATCAGGAACTGCAAAGGATATCCCATTATCGATCTTTGTTGTTTGAAGTCATTTTCTTACATCTTACACTCGTACATAAATAAAGAGACTAAACTTACTAACTCCACTCACTTGAACCTAAACTACCTGGCAAGTATAGGTGCTGGAGAGTTTAAGCAAGTTGTCAGTCATGTAAAATGATGAAGCAGCCACGGCAACTTCCCAAGGATGTGCTTCACATTTACAAAAGCGGCATAGTTCATATAGATGAAAAATGCTGGCATAAAACCAGCTCAATGTGAAGGCCTCAGAGCAGCATTTTAAAGATCAGTATGAAGCCGCCTCCGCACTAGCTACAAAGCACTTTCAATGGTTTTTCTTTTACTGTGAATGGAAAACTTTAAAAACTTTTATATTTTGTATTTGAGCCTACTGATTACAACACACAGTTTACAGTTTAGGTTTAATGGCTGTGTATAAATGAGACTCTACTGCTGAACTGATTGAGTTGGTGTTTTTCTTCAACCTATAAATCTGCTTCATATCATCCTCTACAAAAGATGGGCTGTGGAGGGAGTCATGAAAGGGCCACGACCTGACCCTGCTGTATCTTTGCCAGGGCTCATTAGGACCACCTCAGCTGAAAAAAAAACCCCCACACTCTCCGTCTCATCCTGATCATCAGAGCCGAGAACAGACACTTTCATGCCACAAAACACACCGGCCCGTCAAGATGATAAACACAGAGCTGGGTTGGACGTACGGAGAATGAAGAAGAAGAAGTCGCACTGCTTTGATGCAGCAAATCCGACACTCAGAAAATGACCCAGGATTAGGAGTGAGTACAGCTCAGTGTACTTCACGTCTACAGAAGCCCATAACAGAATGTTGTAACGATAAGGAATGAAATGAGATCTATGATAGTTGTTAGACTAACAAATATTTTGATCAACAAGAGTTCATTGACATTGAAACAGAATGTCTTTGGTGTTTGAGATAATCACGGTGTGTTTGTTGCTGCATTATAACTGCTGTAGCTTACCTTTAACAGTTTCTGACACATTGGGTGCTAAAGCAACAATATTCGCCGAGCAACTTAAATTGGATGCCTACTTTAATAGCAATCGTTTTAATTATGATTAAGAATGTTATGCTAATAGTGCAGATGCTAATTATGAAAAGCTATTCCTCGTGTGTGGTTACAGCTCTCTTCTGTGGGCATTGCCGGTTGATTCAACATGACTTAGACAGCTGTCAGAACAAATAAATAGGCGCTGATAAAAAGGCCACAGAGGCGGCGGAACTGGATTACTGGTGCATGTCTTTTTATATGAGGAGATAATTGCAGCTCTCTGAGTACAGGTGAGGTGCAAATGAACACAAAAGTGAGGACCACAGGAATTTCACATGGGGAAAACAAATCGATTATCATCACAATCTCTTCGTGGAAAACAATTTCCCTATGTGCAACAATTCCTGCAGCATGATGCTTCTCTGTGTATCGTAACCGTTTCAGATGGTAGATTTTGGCTGGAAGAATTAAATGGAGTGAAGTAAAAAGCACAATATTTGCCTCCAGAATGTAGTGGAGAAGCATAAAGTGGAAATACTAATACTTAGATAATCCCTCCACTACTGTTTATTCATTCGCAATTCTGTGATTTGCTCTTACCCACCACAGTCAGAGCTCAACAGCCTCATGTCTGCTTTCCGCGAATTCTCCATGTTCAACACCTGAGTGACGTGGTTTACATCTGTTGGGAAGTGGCAACTGCGAGGTATCAAGTCCGTAATACCAGCACCACTAAGAAACATGTCTAGATAAAAAGAGAAACATCTCTACAGAACAAAACAAAACACATCATCACCCAACAATGGTAACACTTTGATCAACAGAGAAAATACAAATGACAAGTTGTCTTGTAGTGTTAAGGGTGCACTGACTAGCCAGCGCCATGGGCAGCAATTGGCTCCGCCGAGCAATTTTAAGAGTTAAACCACCACTGATCTCTCAGCCAACAGAAAACAGACGACGGTTTTTCTCTCTCTCCACACACGTGCGAACAATTTCATACGAACACAGAAGAAATCTTCCCAAACTGAAGACCACTGACTTACATTACATCAGTGCTGAGCTACTGTATCTTTTAAATAACCACACCCATGGAGGGCACTTTAAGTTGAGCTGATAAAACTCTGTTTACCATCATTTGCCATTCCTGTAGGCTCTGTCTTCATGGTGAAGATTCTGCGGACTTTACAGGTGGCAAACAATGTGATGCAATCCAGTGTCAGAAACCCCTTGAACAGTTCACCGGTGAATGATTGAAGGTCGATGCACAACGTAGACCACTGAGACAACAGACACAATATGATTTTGTAGTTACAGTAAAATGATCTCTTAGAGATGCAGTTCAATAACTTGTAGCGCATATGTGGAAGGTAAATCTAAAAGTATTAAAAGAATATGTCATGGCTGAGTTGGATACTCACAGTACTGCGTTTCAATCCTACAAAAGGTATCTTTGCATGCAAAAGTGTGGCAGACAGCTCTTTATGGACTGTTGACAAGTGAAGTCTTCTTTTCAGGTGCTCTAAATCAGTTATCCTGCAAATAACAAGACAACAGAACATAAATTATTGCCGGCATCAATTGTGCCATTAAGAAGTTATGAGCAGAGAAAGCCACAAGCTTTATTACTCTGTGAGATAAGCTCTTAAAGGTTCTTCGACTTTAATGTACTGCTGTGAAGTCAGCTGTCATGACACAGGCTAATGGAAGAACAGCAACACCAGCAATATTTCTCCAGGTTCTTAAAGTGATGTCGTGTGTGAGTAAAAAGGTAGGTAGGTAACTTTATAGTGAGAGATTATCTAGACTTCTGACACTATGTCCACCTAGTTTTGTTGTCTATATGGCTCCCATGACATAACAAAATCTAAACAGCAGCATCTATACCATCTAACACAGCCCGAGTCTGTAATAAATTGAATTTTACCATGACATGAATTCGTACATGAAGAGTTTTGAGCGCAATAAAAGACTCCATAAAAACTTTAAAGAAGACTTCTATAGAGTCTTGATTGCACAAATGTTGTTTTATTGACCATGAAAAAGCATTTGGTATCTCACAGAGTGTGATTCTTCTTTCAATAAACATCCACACATTATAGGCTACAATGTTATACAAAATATTAATAAAACCTTGTAGAATGTATTGTGGCTGGTAAGATAAAAGCCGTCTTTTCATCAAGTAGTTTACAGTTTAGCGGCTTATATGTGATTATTACACGGAAAACTAAAGTAAATAACAGTCATTGCTAATATAATACATTGTTCAGGTGGCTCAAGATGTTTTCATACTAGACTCTTTTAATATTCTTTTCAGTGGTCTGAGGGAAATTCACTGATTTAATGATTATTTTTTTTATTTCAGTTTACATTATAATATTAACTATTCTCTCATGTAACAATGTGTTAACTTACTCCGTTAAAGATAACTGTGGTTACCGTATTGAGCCACACTAACCGTTATAAAAGTCCTTTGTTAACAACAGAATTAAAGATGAATTCAGATCTACAACAGTTCACGCTATAAAAATGAAGCATAAAAAATATTAAGCTTGCTGTACTTACACAAGCTCAATAGAAAAGTCCTTGAACTCGGGAATATTCACTTGAAGGACCAAGAAACGTTGAAGAAGTCCAACTAAGAAAAAAAAAACAGTCAAAGATGAGAATTACTATTAATAAGCGAGCATAACAAATTATAATTTACAAATGGGTGCAAGTGTGACTTACGAGACATTTTCCCACTCTTTGGTATTTGCATCTTGACTGTCTGGCTGCTGACCTTCAGGCAGTAAACAAAGCCCTTCACTTCTTTATTGTACTCCTAAGAAAGGAAATAGCATACGCGAGGCCTTGCTCAGTCCAGCGTTCTGCCTAGTTATGATGACCAGTATTGTGTAGGCATACCTTGAGTCATTGAGAGCAGACATGTGGTTAATGTGAGAAAAATAAAGTATGTAAGGTTTGAAATAGAAAGACTATGTGTATGTGAACAAGAACAGCTCTGTTGTGTCATAGAAAGAAAAAGTGAAGTGAAAGTGTATAGTTTCATGGCATCGACGATAAAACTTTCACATTTCATTGACAGTTGATTTTGCTCTTACAGTTAAATTTACTGACATCATGGGTTTGTATCTCCCTTATTTTAAACAAATTAACAGATCCCTCTTACACAATGTAGTTACGTTAATCATTCAGACTTTGTTAACTGTATGATGTTTATTGGACTGCATTAGATTGTATTTGTTACTGTGTGCTAGCTTGACAGGCTAGTTAAATTGGACTTATGTGCAATAGTGAGCACATATAATCACATTAAAATGAGGTAAAACTAGCAGCTCTGAAAACTCACCTTATGTATGGCTGACGGACCTCCGCAAAGTTTCCATTTGGCTACAGGGTCTTTTCCTTGTCCACTAAAGATTTCCACCACAGCTCCACCCTGCGAGCAACAGGATGAGTTTTCACTATTTGCCTGTTGCAGCTAATGTTATGCTACATCAAGCTAATGCTCATAGTAGCTTAAAAAGACAGCATGCTACCTGCGAAGGAATAGAAGGACAAAGTCAGTTGGGGTAAAATAAACTTACTTGATAATTCTTGCTAAACATTATTCGTAAACGTTGCGTCAACGGTCGAAAAAGGATATTTGACGTGTTTAACCTCAACGTTTTGCTAACTCAGGATGTGTTTCCATGGTTACCTGACGCTACTGACACGATTCTAATTTTACAAGTGCAGGTGTTACGTCATAGGTTGTCCCCCCTCAGTTGTTAGGAAACAGGTATAAGGTTGGTTCCGGTTTAGGCAAAGGGTTTTAGGAAGGGGAAAACACATATCGACAGTATTCGACACAACACCTGTTTAAGAGGCTTATACAATGAATACAGACAACGTATAGACACGTATTTGTATTGTGACGTTTAGGTGCTTCACTGTGCTTGGGTAATTAAAAACACAAGGTACACTTGCATATTAAATTGACATGTTTACTTATTGCCATAATGGTACTGTTACTTGCATGGGGCTTTATTGACCTGGGCCTATTTATCAGTACAATTCTTTCAGGTCATTACTTTTCCATGCAACCTACGGATTTTGTTGGTCCAATGTGTTCAATATAAAGCAGTAAGATAAATGTGTGAATTAAATATTCATATGAATAAATACTGGCAAATATATATGATATGACTATGGAATTTAAACTTGATCAGCTTGACATTATCACATTTTATTTCATTGTGCTTCTTTTCACAGAATTTAGGTTATTTTTATTCAATTCCAGCTGTTTTCCACGATATGCTTTTAATTCACAGTAAAAAAAATCCCATTAGCCATTTTCTTTCACACAGAGAGTTAGGTGGACGGCTGAATGAGCAAACAGGGCAATAGTCTTGTGTAGAATCATTTAAAAAAAAAATACTGATAGCAAGTGTTTGTTCTCTTAACTCTCCAATCTCATCACCGGACTCTTCAAGAGAAAAACAATAGATTCTCATACCAGACAACCACGATGGGGTACATAGAGTGTGATAAGGGTTGTTTTAATAAAGATGTTGCCAAAAAAAATGCACAGTAAAAAATAGACCTGTATTCAAATTGTATCTTCTCTTGAAATGCAAAAACCCATTATTGTGTCATTGTCGCTTGCTTTGTTTACCCTGGCAGCAGGGCTATTATGAGATCAAAAAGATGTCTTTTTAATTAGCTACAGAGGGAGACCACATCCGTAAGTACAACGGTATGGCTTACCACTTATTAACATTTTCTGCATGTATCTGACTTCAAACACATGGTGGTCTCAGTTATTTATGGATATAGAACAAAAGACACCACAAAAAAAGGAATCTGTCCCGTCACACCTTTGAATACTGTGAGTTTTATTGTTTTTGAACACGCGCCACTACAACATTTAATATCACTGTCCCCATTTGCATTTTCATGGATTTTTTTTTTTTTTTTGTGTTCAGGCTCGCTGCAGAGATACTAAAAAAGCTCTTCTGATGTTGTAGCAAAAACTAAGCATTTCTGTCCTTAAAACATTTTCAGAATGAATGATGAGAATGCGTCATAGAAAAAAAGGAACAGGGTGCCATATCTTCCGTAGGTTAGACCATCATGTCTCAACCCTTGCTGGTTGTGTCATTTAATAAATCTTTAGGACGTACAGAACTGTTGTATGACTAAAAGAAAAAAGCTACATAATGGGAATATGTGACAGATGGATGCAAATGGATTTTCTATATGATATCACTGTGTCCAGAAGGGGTCAACCCTGCAAAGGATAATTAATCTGAGATTGTTCATCTAATGCACGGTTTGAGTTGTTTGAGCTGCCTCTCTACCAGCTTTTATATCCACAGTATTGTAAATGAAGGAGGTTCTTTGTAACATCTTGCTTCATGAAAGTCCTCTAGTTCCTCGCGTTGACAAGCCTGTCATTTTCACAAATGGAATTGTACTTCTGTACAGTGAACGTACTCAGATGAACCTCTGTGTAGAAGTGTAGAAGCTGCTGATACACTTAACTTTACCATGATTCATTCTTAACTGTAATGAAGAGCACTTAGGTGAACTTTAGCTGCATCTCTCCTGAACTAATAATCACTGCAGTTTCCCCTCTGTTTTACTGCTTTATTATGACACTCAGTGCAGAATTGTGTAATATAGAAACAGCGTCAACGGAGCATGGCACGGGGAAAGTTTCATAATTAACTTTTTTTTCTCTGCAGGAATGGCTTGACACTGATTGGGACAGACAGCATCATTAAAATAAAGCCTGGCATGCAGTGAACACTGACGAAGTCAGCATGGAGATCTCCGTTAATAAATCTGTGCCTGTTAGCATACTTAATGATGACTAATTATTTACTCATTATTTTTCAAAAGAATCTATTCATTCGCATCAGTCAAAACACATCAATTAGTGTAGACAATGTTAGTGTTGATATACTGTAGAGTGACAGTAACACAAGCTGTTTTTGTCAGTGATGTTGACCACATTCATGTCGCCTACGGGTACAAATAAAAGTAACCTGAAACCTGATATTCCCAAAACATATTTTATCATAAGACTATGAATGAAATGAAGGGGTTCAGATTTAAAATCACTATTACCATGACCAATAATTATATTTACACAGCATTTGATTCCAGCTTTCCTCAAAGGAGCTTGTTTTGGGGAAATATGGAAGCAGGGAGCAGCCCTTACAGATGAGTAAATGCGTCTCAGAGTATATCATACAGCAGCTGACTAAACCTATTTGTATTGATCCAGTCTGTGTTTCTCTTCCTAATGCTCATCATCACTGAAGCTGAATTAATTCAGTAAAGTAAAACATGTAATCACTACGAGACAATATAGAAAGTGGTTTTCCAGAGGGCCAAATATACAGTGTATATAATAGAAATATATAATGCCCCACATACATAAAACATTTGTTGTTAGGTGCATTGCTTACTTTTCTAACCAAAGACGTTTTTAAAAGCTAAGATAAGAAAAATACCAATCCAATGCTCTTATTAAAAAAAATAGAGAAATAAGCTTCATCTGTTTTTTTAGCAGCTGTGTTCTTGTTTCTTTTTGTACTGATATGACTGATCATTTATTAAAGTGAAGAGGCTTTATTTTCATCATTGCTGTAAATGGGGACATATTAGGTTCAGCAGCAGTTTTGAATCCCTTATGGTTCATTTCAAATTGCGATGCAGACTGTCTGCATCTAACATGATGTCGTGAATTTTGAGCTTGTCATGCTTAATATTTTTTCAATTTTGTATGGTGCCAGAATACAATCAAGGAAAAGAGAATCGTGCTTCTCTTGAGTAAGTTAAAAGTGCTGGTTGTAATTGGCAGAGACTTATTGAAGTCCTATTTGCATTCAACGACCTAGAGGGACCCGTCTTCGAAACAGTGCTTCTAAGTGGGATTAAGATGTCGGAGAGTTGAAGTCCTTGTCTAGGAGATTTTTACATATTTTTTGTCCTAAAACAAATTCATCATAAGTTACATTCTCGTTTCACTTTTTTCATTTGTGACCTACTTAAATCAAATTGTTCAAGTCACCTTAACTGGACACACTGAATGTGCAACCTTCAATGGGCAGCATCTATTTATAGAGCCTTGCCATAAGACTTGTCATGAATTCACAAAGGCAAACGAATCAAAGTGAGAAGTCAGTAATCAGGGTCATTACTCCCTATTCTCACTTCCTGCTCTTGCTGGTGGCAAGAGGGACAAATTCTCAACCACTATGACCTCTTTTTGTATTCAACAAGTCTAACCTTAAATAGAAACTAACTGGGAAAACCAGAAAAGCTTCTCATACCTTGTGTCTGCTCATATTCCCCAACAAGTGCTAATTTAATTATTATTTTGAATCTAGCCCCTAATCTCGGACCAACATCCTTAAACCGATCATATGTGTTACATTATTGACAATACTTGCTCTAATTTAATTCCTAATTTCTGTCTCGGTTCATTTGATTCATTTTTGCATCCGTTGCATAACATTTAACTAGACTTTGTGTACAAACTATGTCAGTGGGAGTTTGAGTGGAGGCGCTCAGCTTCTTGCCCAATAAACTGTATCACCTTAAAGGCTAATTCTTCTTTTATTCTCTGAAGATATTTAGGTTACCCCAGTCTTTGTTGCGTTCTCTATAGGATTGTATTCAGCTAGTCCACTGTGATAACCACTAGGTCAATGCGAGCATGTCTATCGACCAAATCCAGAGCAACACCATCTGACTATTTTGGACATTTGCAGCCATATTCCAATTGATTTGACAATGAGACCGCATTTGTAATAAACAAGATTATAAGCATGGCCTGCAAGGTGTTAAATGGCGTAATGGTGACCAAGTACAACCGCTGTCCTGTGACTTTAATGTGTGTTTTCAAGCCAGACAAATCTGTAGAGCTTATTACTTAAACATTTATATCACAAAAAACATACTGAAGGCCTTTATTTCACAGAAGACATTCTCAAGTGCACTTGTAAATAATAAAATGGCTGAAGACCAGCTGCTTCGGTTTGAGGGTTCTGGTATTGTGCACGTAAGCTCGCTGTCACATGGTCATGGCCTACTATCATTAGAAACATTTCCTTTTACGACAATGTCTGCTGTAAAAAAGGCCTCAACATTTATTCAGAGAAGCTGAAGGGTAACAGATAAACTGAGATCGAAGTACCGCCATTCTTTTTTCAGTGAAATGTATTTAAAAGAATTGTAAGAGTAAAATAACTTAAAATATTGCCCCCAAAAGAAGGTATTTTGGCGTATTTTACCTCAGCTGTTAGTTGTCCTGCAATGCAGATGTAATATTTGATTAATAGATTTTCAATGACCTTCGGTTTGAACTCTACATTGGACAATAGGGTGGTGAATCAAACCTGCTCCACTTCTGAAAATCAGAGTGTCTCAGAGGTCTCAAACAGAAGAGACAATCCCTCTGCTGATACCGAATGTGCTGAAATAACCTTTGTCACAGAAACTCCAAAGTGATTTGATTAAATATTAAAAATCATCGTGCCTTAACTTCCCACTGAAACAGGAATAATATATCATTGTACAGGCTTCATTCAACTCACAACGCAATGAATCAATCTCACCTCAAATTCCCTCCAATGGTTTTTATTTCATTT